AACCAATGAGAAGGCAGAACAGAAAGACTATTTAAGCACAGACAAACAGGAAGTAGCTCTCTCTCGGGGAAGCTAGGAGCACTGCAGGAGGTAAGGTTTTATCTCTGAGCTCTGACCTCTCAGCTTTCTCTTTTACATTGGCTCTGTGTTTCTTATTTTAATAAGATGATTGGTTACATCTACAAGATAGCATTTACATATTTGAAAACACAGACAGATTCAACCCCCAAGTCCTTTATTGTTTTCTTCAGTTTCAATAGAAAAGGATCTTTAGAACCCGAGCCCAGGCTCTGGGGAATGAATCTGGTAGTCAAGATATGGGGGACAAGGCTCCCATTTTGATTCTGAGGGCTGGCCCCCACACTCACCCTAGTCACTTGTTCCCATGTCCCACCAATACCTTTGGTGAATCATAGTGCAGTCTTGAAGTTTAAGCTTGAGGATGACAAGACGCAGTGAATACCAGGGGTCCCTCCTGCTGACCCTGGCTGTGGGGCGGAGGGCTGAGTGTCGTGACTTCTAGCTGAGTCCAGGAGAGATTGAGGTATTGCCCCACCTCAGATGGGATCACCTGGTGGGCTTGCACAGGCTGGGTTCATCTGAGGTCATAGTGTAATGTAACTCTTCCTGAGTTTTGAGGTTCAACTTGGTCAGCTTTTGCCCTCGAGATCAGTTCTAGCCAGTTCCAGAATCTCCACTTTCAGATGTCATGGGAACTGTAGGTGCACTGAGCTGCTCTGCTAGAGCAGCTGTAATTGGACTGTTAGCCGTAAGGCTCGCTTTGCTGGCCCTGGTTGGCCCTGAGCTCCTGCTACACTCACCACCTCCAGCTGGTATTTCCCCCGTCTTGGTCTCCTATGGCCCAGGTGCAGGGAGCTGAAGCCATCCAGGTGATTCATGCAGAAGAAACCTTGGTTGTTGCCTCTGGCAATAACATAACGGATCTGGCCTCCCAGACTCTCAAGAGCTGGTCGAAATTCTAAGATGTGCTTGACTTGGCCAAGGTGTGAGATGTACAGGCTCAAGGTCAAGGGGACTTCCGTGTCGAGGGTGGCCAGGCTTACCTAGGAGGAGGGACCAAGTGAACTGTCAGAGTCTGTGTAAATAAGGATGCAAGTGGGTAGGGAGGAAGCTGTCATGTGTGCTTGTTTCCTGGCTTCTTTGTCTAGTCATCTATGTAGAATGCCAAGGTCAGCTAAGGCTGAGAATGTAACAGCAAAGGCTAAAACTGGTGCTTTGATGGAAAAAAGAAAACTCAAGAGGAGAGAGACCGAGGACGGCTTAGGTAATAAAGTGCTTGCACTCAAAGTCTGAAGATCTGAGTCCAGATCCCCAGTACCCACGTAGAAAGCTGGGTGTGCTGGTACATGCCTATAGTCTCACTGGAAGGGCGGGGAGAGGAGGACCCCAGGGGCTTGCTGGCCAGTGGTAATATCAAATGGTGAGCTCCAGGTTTAGGGAGAGTCTCAAAAAGAAAGTAAGTGGAGCTGGGTCCACAAGTTGGCTCAGCAGGTAAAGGAGCTTGCCATCAAACCTGAGGACCAAAGTTTGATTCCCTAGAACCACATGGAAAAGAAGAGAGAATTAGTTCCTGCCGATTGTTCACTGACTTCCACATCCATGTCTTGTGCATGAATGCAGACACACACAATCACCACCATCTCCAAATAAATATATTTTAAAAATTTTAAAAAAGGTAAGGTAGTGGTGTTGTCCTCTTGTCTCCAGACATGGCATACTCGAGCACATGTATGCATGTGCATCTCTCTCTCTCTCTCTCTCTCTCTCTCTCTCTCTCTCTCTCTGTGTGTGTGTGTGTGTGTGTGCGTGTGTGTGTGAGAGAGAGATGCATAGACACACACACACAAAGATACCGACAAATATAAACATACCAAAAACAAAACAAATAAAAAAGCAACAGTTAGGGGATCAAAGATTTGCCTTGAAAACCCAGCAAGCAGTTCAGGCAGGTAATGTCTGGCTCCAGAGACCTAAGGTGGTTCAAAGGCAGCCTAGGTGACTGGTGTTATAACCAAGGGCTCCCCCTCCCCCCAAAAAAACCCTACATCTCCAAAAAAGATGCCAGAATCTACGGAGTTACAAACAGAATACTCAGCTAAGTCAGAAAGAGAGCAAGGAGAGGCCCCAGAAGAGCCTTCCGCTGGCTCCATTGTACTTCCTGTGTCTGGCTCTCTCTGAGAGGACCCTGTGTACAGATGACAAGCCCTTCTTTATTTGAGCTCTTCTGAAGTGCCTTCATGGTCCTGGCAGCAGGACAGTAAGCCAATGGGTCTCAATGGCAGGCCACCCCAAGCGGGGTGATGTATCTGATTCCACAAAGGGTTATCTGTGCTTATCCCCCCCCCCCCCCCGGGTTGTGCTGTGTCTGTTTCACCTCATTTGCATGCCTGTGGAGTTATTTGCCATTACTTTGAGAGAAAGCTATTTCAGTCTCTCTGCCCTGGTTCTGGGAAATCTTTCCTTTCTGAGGAGCACGGCTCAGGCATATGCTCTTATTGACACCTCCTGGCAAACAGTGGCATTACAGGCAAAGGCACTGCACTGCCCTCTCTCCATAGCACGCGGTGTCCATCCCAGGATCCTTGGCAACCATTCTACTCTCAGTGAAAATCAAGGGCTGGCAGTAAATGTGGGATAATTTCTACAGGGAAAGTTTCTTTTCTTAAACAAGGGAAAAAGTAACTGAAGAAAACAGAAGATAAAGTAATCCACGATAGATTCATGTTAGCCAACTATATGTTGAAAGTCTCTCAGACCTAAATAAAGTAATCCACAACAGATTCATATTAGCTAACTATATGTTGAAAATCTCTCAGACCTAACATGTCCATCCCACTCTGGCTTTATTTTTCTCTGTTGCATGGATCATTTTTTTTTCATATGTTATAAAGCATGCTATGTTTTCCTTAATGATCCCCCCTCCCCCCGTCCCTTCAGAGTATCATGAGGGCAGGGGCTCTTTTTCTCTCCATTTGCTTATTACAGATTGCTTAGACTCTGTCCAGAAGGAGCCTTAATTGTTACAGGAATGAGGTAACATGCCCAAAGGATATGTTCCCTAGAAAAGACCTAGGCTGAGAAAGTATAGAAGATCCAGTCAGGCACCATAGTATGAGGAAGAAGTTGAGACAAGTTGTTCAATGGTTGCCTGCTTTTCTCTTCCTTTTATTTGAGACAGAGTCTCATGTAGCCTAGGCTAATCCCAAACATACTAAAGAGCCAAGGATGTCTAGTTTTATGCAGTGCTGAGGATCATGGCTCAGATATTTGAACCTAGGACCTTATGCATGCTAGGCAAGTAATTTACCAGCTAAGCTACAGTTCTAGATCTAGAGTTCTCTCTTGAGAGATCACAGCCTCCTTCTGAAACCCTCTGATAGCACCTTAGTTTGCCCACCCAGTGTAGTCCCCATGGCACCTGATGACCTCCTTGGATGCTGCGTCTTGGTCGGTCCTGAGGGGAGAGGCCATTGATCTTGCATTCATAGCAGGCTTCAGGCGAGAGTAATTCTTCCTCATCTGGGGTGGCCTGAGATCCAGAGCTGAACCCAGGGCTGGAGATGCAGTGTCTGAGCCAGATGGTATGGGGGAAACGTTCAGAAGCAGGCTGGTGGCACCTCACCCACCATCTCCCATCATCCCTCATACAGAGCCACAGGTACAGATACCATCATGCAAATGTGTGCGGTGTGTGTGTGTGCTGGCATGGCTGTATATGTGCATGTGTGCAACTACTGGAGGGATGTATGTATCCCTTGGTTTACCTGGACATTGTTATGAACACAAGAATGGGATGATGTACATGCAATGGAATAGAAGGATGTATCTGTGTATGTCCAAAAACATGTACATTTGGGAGCATGTATATATGGAAGACGATGTTCACATACACCTGTGCTCACTGGGATGCATGGATCTATATGAGTGGGGCTGTGAGTATAGTAAGCCCCCCTTATGCACAAGCCCAGTCAACCCTCTGTATCTAGAGGTTCTGCATCCTCATATTCAACTCGTTATCCAAGGATTGAAGATGGTTACAGTGTTGTGAGGTTCTGCATCCTCATATTCAACTTGTTATCCACGGATTGAAGATGGTTACAGTGTTGTGAGGTTCTGCATCCTCATATTCAACTCATTGTCTAAGGATTGAAGATGGTTACAGTGTTGTGATCTTTTATGTATTTAGACCTGTCTTAGTTACCTCCCTGCTGAACATTTAGATACTTTTCTTTGTTAATATTCCATAACAAAACAGTGCAACAGTTACATATACTGATTTATATTTTATTAGGTGTTACAAATTATGCAGAGATGATTATTTACTTTCAAGATAGGGTCTCATATAATGAAGAGGGAGTTTGTAACCTCAAACTTTCTATATTGGTCCTCTTGCTTGTACCTCCCAAGTGCAGTGATTATAGGCATGTGCCACCATGACTGGTGTACACAATGCTGAGGATCAAACCCAGGACTTTGTATATACTAGGCAAGCATTCTACCCACCGAGTGACATCCCTTGCCTGTGATGATTTAGAGTATATGGAGGAATGTGTGTAGGTTCTGTGCAAATACCATGCCATAAGGGACTAGAACATCCTTGCATTTGGGTATCCATGAGATGAGGTTATTGTATAGCAATTTTCTTGTGTTGATGAAGCATTCTGTCCTTGAGGAAGGTACCATAAGACACAGGAAATAAACAACTCATAAGTTTCAGGAGGTTGCTAAAACTTACTAGATGCACAAGACCTCCACCCCCCACCATGGTTATATAAGCAGTAAGGAACACTGAGAAGACTCTTGTTAAGGTGCCTGCGAATCTTGCAGTGAGCTCCAGGATTCCAGATTCCCTGAGTCATTACCCATGCTGGGTGGGCCTGCTTTCTTTCTTTCTTTTAAGATTTATTTGTATATTTTATGTATATAGGTGTTTTTCTGCATGCATGTCTGCACACCAGAAGAGGAAATTAGATCTCATGGGACTACATTTATAAATGGTTGTGAGACACCATGTGGGTGCTGGGAATTAAATTCAGCACCTCTGGAAGAGCAACCAGTGAACTTCACTGCTGAGCCATCTCTCCAGCACATGGGCTTTCACTGATGTAATTTCCTCTGGGACAGCTATGTTTCTGTAGATAACCTCTCACCCACACTCCTACAAGTAACCCATTGGTTAGTAGTAAACTCACTGGTTCACCAAGTTGGAATTTAATGGTATCGTTACTCTGATCAGTTGTTATTTCTGTATCTGGGGTGAGGAGACGTTTGTTCATGTTTCCCAGGACTCGTGTCACATAAAGGGGTACAGGAAGCAATCTTCCATGGATATGGAGAGAGGACTTTATTTCTGTGTGTGAGGGTTCATATGTGCTTCTTCATGTGTGCTAACTTGAATCCTGAATGGCCCATGAGTGTCTCCAGGTGGTGGGAACACACAAGCCTGAATGTAAAATGAGATAACGACATAGACCTGTACTCATGCACATTGGCACTTATGAATGACTTGGGCTTGTTAGACAGACATGAGTATGTTGACAGTTATGGACCAGAGGTGTGCACACATACTGCCTATGTCCAGTTCTCTGTGTACACAAGTAGGCACCTACATACACAGGCAGATGGATTGCTAATGGATTCTGTGTGTATGTGAGTCCAACGTTCATGATCAGGGCATGAAGAATGTGCCCACTACACTCTTGCCCATCCCACTTGAGCCTCTTACCCTTGTCCAGCCCGGAAGTAGCCTTGGGGACAGCCACACAAGAAGCCACCATGTGTGTTGGCACAACCATAGCTGCAGGGGTTGCCTTGCTCGGCACACTCATCCACATCCTGGCAGCCTCCAAGGTCCTGGTTGAAATTGAAACCAGAGGGGCAGACACAGTGGAAACTGCCAAGTGTATTGTAGCAAGAGGCACTACCACAAGCTGTGGGTGATAAGGCACACTCATTTTCATCTGTAGGTGGAGAGAAGAAGAGGGACAGAATGGGAGAAACCTTGTATGCCTGGAGCCTTTCACCCGAATACACACACTGCTCTGTTCTGCACCCATTACTAATGTCTGCAGACATTACTAATCAATCACAGCACTCTTTACTGTGTGAAACTTCCAGTAAACTCATTAGGAGTTCTCAAACTATGTCTATCTTCCTTCCTCCACTGCATATTCTACTCCTGGCCCTTATAGCATTTCTCAAAATTTCCCCTGTATCCTAAGTGGTAGGTTAGTCTAGAACAAGCTTTCTCATGTGGGGCCAAGTCATTCTGTGGATCAAGAACTGTAGGATACTGAGCAGCATCCTTAGGCTTTGCCTATGATACTAGGAGCACCTCATCCCCTTGCTGTATTCACAATAAACAATACTGATCAGCCACAGCACCCTTTATTGTGCAAAGCCTCCAGCAAGTGTGTCAGAAGCCCTCAGACATCTCTCTTCCTCTCTCCTCTGTCTATTATCCTCCCTCACAACTTCTAGCCTCTGTTGCAAAGCCTATAAGAGCTGTGAAAGTGAGAGTTGAGGAGAAGTCACAGGTCTCAGGAGACCAAGTAGATTCCACAAAGGTAGAGTGTAAAAAAGATATATATATCTTTAGATCTCTATCCCTATCTATCTATCTATCTATCTATCTATCTATCTATCTATCTATCTATCTATCTATCATCTATCTATCTATCTATCATCTATCTCTCATCTATTTATCATCTATCTATTATCTATCTATCTATCTATCTATCTATCTATCTATCTATCTATCTATCTATCAATCATCTATGCATGTAACACACTTAATGAAAAAAGAGGTCAGGGATTTGGAAGAGAGTGAAAGGAAGGGTATATGGGAGGGTTTGGAGGAAAAAAGGGATGAAAGAAATAATTTAATTATACTATAATTTCAAAAATAAAAAGATAGACTATGGGAGAAATGTTGAAAGTGATAGAGATGAGGTTGTTGATAGGAAAGTCTGCTGCAGCAAAAATATGGGGAAAGTTGTGATACAGAAGGCAAGTTCTTTACCTCAAGAGCCTCTGAAATTGCTATGGTGAAGACAGCATGTGTGTCTTGAGAGGCGTTGCTGTACTCATGGCAGACATGACTCATCAACCACACTATTCTCTCCATTGCATCTATGGCAGGCATTGCTAAACCTTTCTACTCTGCGCAGACATTGCTAATCAATCACAGCATTCTTTCTGTTGCACACTTGGTAGACACTGTTAATCAATCCCAGTCTTTTGGTGCTGCACTTTTTCCAGCTAGTCAGGCCATCACTCTTTAACAAATGGACTTGAATACCATGCCATGTTTGTTCACCAGGTCAGTGACTTCCCAGTGGTCAACCTTTTAGGCTGGCCCATTTGATTTATAAATGGACCAGCTTGTCATAACATCTGCAGGGGAAAAGATTCCTACTTGTCTGCTCTGGAAAGATTCTGGTGAGTGCTTGGCTGTGGTGATGTATTGTGTACCCTAATAAAATTTGCCTGGAGATCAGAGAACAGAACAAGCCACTAGATTAAACATAGATGCCAGGCAGTGGTGGCACACATCTTTAATCCCAGCACTCGGGAGGCAGAGATCTGTCTGGATCTCTGTGAGTTCAAAGCCACCCTGCACTACATGAGATTGACTCAGTCGAGGAGGGGAAAGGAGCTGGGAAGTGGTGGCACACACCTTTCATCCCAGCACTTGGGAATCACAAACCTTTAATCCCAGCATGAAGAAGGAAGTGATATGGCTGGGCAGAGAAAGGTATATAAGGCTCGAGGAGACAGGAACTAAAGCTTTTTGGCTGAGAGCCTCTTTTCAGATGGGGGGCCCTTTTCAGCTGGACCCCTTTTGGCTGAGGACTCAGAGACATTCAAACAGGACTCATGGAGTTGATGAGGGGAGACGTGGCAGTGGCTTGTTCCTCTGTCTCTCTGATCTTTCAGCATTTACCCCAATATCTGGCTCCGGGTTTTTTATTATAAAACCTATTAGATTTTGTGTTACACTTGGCTTCCTCCCAGCCCTTGCCACTCACCCACACACTGGGCCCACTGGGCATGCTGGGTGAAGCCTTGTGGACAGCTGCAACGGTAGCCCCCCAGCTCATTCTGACAGCCAAACTGGCAGCGGTGGGGCCTGTCACATTCGTTTACATCTGAGACACAGAGGAAGAGAGAAAAGAAGAGGGAGAGAAGATCGGTGGGTGCTTCTTGGGATCATCCCCCAGACTGAGAACCCACTCAAACTCTACTTCACCTTCACAGCTGTGGCCAGAGCTGTCCAGGATGAAGCCTCTATTACACTCACAGTAGAAGCTGCCTGGAGTATTTCGGCAGTGTCCATGGGTACCGCATAGGCCAGGTTGGGCCAAGCACTCATCATTATCTATAGAGGACAGAGAATGGGTCGGGTTGCTTTGTGGTTATGGGTGAATATGAAGGGCTATCATGCTGGTGTTGACACTACACTGTGTGGCTTCAGAGGAGTCCCTCCCCTTCTGTGGTGGTTTCTTCCTCTGTGAAATGAGATAAGAATCGTTCCTAGCTCACAGAATTGCAGCCAGTGTTTGTGGTACTGCATGTAAAGTGCTTTGCGTCGAGTGTTAGGAAGGTTCCCAGGAATCCACAAGGATGATTCCACCATAGACTACTGGCAATAGTCAAGAGGGTGCCTGAGCTGGCCTACTCTGATGATTGGATGGCGGAATACCCTAACTGTCATCATAGAACTCTCATCCAGTGACTGAAGGAGGCAGATGCAGAAATCCATGGCTGGGTCCCAGGCAGAGCTCTAGGAGTCCAGTCGATGAGAGAGAGGAGGGATTCTATGAGCAAGAGATGTCGAGACGATGATTGGAAAAAGTGCAGAGACAACTAGCCAAACTAGTGGAAGCGCATAAACTGTGGACCAGTAGCTGGGGAGCCCCCATGGTGCTGGACTGGACCCTCTAGATGGGCGAGACAGTTGTTTGGCTTGAACTGTTTAGGGGGCCCCCAGGCAGTGGGACTGGGACCTGACTCTAGTGTATGAGCCAGCTTTTTGGAGCCTGGTGCCTATGGTGAGACACTTTGCACAGCCTTGGTGCAGGAAGGAGGGGCTTCTGTGCTGTGCTCTGCTGACTCCCCATGGGGGACCTTGCCTTGGAGGGGGTGAGAATGAGGGGTGCGTTGGGGGGAAATGCTGGGGGGTAGGAAGAGGGAGTATGGGGGAATCTGTGGTTGGTGTGTGGAGTGAGTGGAAAATCTCTTAATAAAAAAATTATTAATAAAAAAGTGCTTTATTTGAAATGAGAATTCAGTGGATTTGTCCATGAGAGAGCTTATGACAGTTTCTGCTATGAAAGTCAGACATTACCAAAACTAGGCTGAGGATGTAGCTTAGTGGTAGCATGTTCTCCTGAAATCCCCAATACTGTTTTTAAAATGTTAACAAACCCTTATGCAGTCAGATGTGTTACACGGGCCCATAATCTTGATTACTTAGGGGCCTAAGGCAGGAAGATCACAAGTTCAAGGTCAGCTAGGTCAATTTAGTGAGAACCTGTCTCAAAATAAAAAACAAAATGAGGGTCTGGGCAGCTGGCTCAGCCAGTTAAGTGCCTGCTGTACAAGAATGAGGACCTGAGTTCAGTCTCCAGACTAGATGTGAGAGGGAGTTCTAGTTCCCACAGGCCCAGAAGACACTAAGAGGCCATGGCAGATAGCTTGGTGGCTTTGGCTTCTGAACTACTTTTTCCAGAGTGACTGTGTAAACTCCTGAGTTTGGGAAACATCCTGGGAAAGCTCAATACAAGAGACCCAGCAGGGATGGATCATGGGGAAGGGGAGACGTGCTGGGCCCAGACCAGAGGGATTTCTGAGGGTAGCCCTCCCACCTCCCTAGGGTAATGAAGAAGGTTCTAGGTGTCACCAAGATGCGTGTATCGAGGGACTGTGTTCTAATCACCCCCGTCCTCCCCGCCTGACACACGAGGAGTGCTTGACGTTGCTTTTGTCTCACAAACAGGTGAGGGTAGGGTTGTGAGGGTTGTGTTGGGGAGCGGGGTGGGAAGCAGACAGCACAGCTCACCGAAACAAGCCTGCTGGTGTTGTGTGAAGCCAGGGGGACAGCGGCAGGCGAAGGCGCCCACGGTGTTGACACAGACGAACTGGCAGTTGTGTTGCCTGGAGGCGCACTCATCCAGGTCTGTGGGACAGGGGGTTCCAGGGGGCAGGGGCAGGGCTCAAGGGTGGAGCTCAGCCAGAGGACCAGCCAAGGGGACGGTCCTCAGAGGAGCTTGGGGATGGTGCTGAGCAGACAGGCTCGAGGGTGTGTGGGTATGGGGTAGCTTTAGAGGGCGGTTTGAGAGGAAGTTTCAGAGGCTGGGCTTGAGGACGGTGTTCGGTGTTCGAGGCTGGGACCATACGGGACCGGCCCGGGGGGCGGGACTCAGAGGGGGCTTGAGGGAGGAAGCTCAACTGTGGGCTCGCTCGGGGGTATGGAGAGGGTGGGGAGTAGGTTGGAGGGGTTGCTGGGGGGGGGGAGGCTTGATAGGTGATAGCTCAAGGACAGGGGATAACCATGAGTGGGACCTAGGGTCCGGGCTCAGGGGTGCCCCTGGGATCACTCTTGCCACTCCAAGCAGGGTGCTCTTGCCACTGATGGAGTGGGAAGGGAGGTATCCTGGCTGTGGTGGGGCCAACTCTATGCAGCTGGGAGTGTCTTGAGTCCAACAGTGACGGGGAAGATCGAGGGAGGGAAGGACATCACCTTTGCAGGTCCTGAGATCTTCCTCCAGCAGGTAGCCACGGGGGCAGGCGCACAGAAAGGTACCCTCTGTGTTTTTGCAGAGGAAGGAACATGGCTTGGGGTCCTGGCCGCATTCGTCCACGTCTAGATGAGATGGCAGGGCATGAGGGGACTCATACAGACATGCCCAGGGCTTGATGGGGGCCTCACAGGCTGGGACCCCTGCTCAGACCCTGGTTATCTGAAATTGTGGAACTACTTAAGTTATTTCATATTTCATTTTTAAACTTTATTTCTTTACTTTTTCATTTTCATGAGATAAGGTCTCGCTGGGTAGCCCAGGCTGGCCTGGAACTCACAGAGATCCACCTGCCTCTGCCTCCTCAGTGCTGGGATAAAAGTTTAGGGACATGCCTGTCCCTAAAACTGTTAATGACATTTACTTATTGTCCATGTATATGAGGGGGGCACACATATTTGACAAGTGTGCATGTGGAGGTCAGAGGACAACTTGCAGGAAGGAGTTGGCTCTCACCTCTAACATTTGGGTGCCAGGTTTTGAACCCAGGTCAGCAGGCTTGGCGGCAAGCATCTTTACCCACTAAGGCATCTCAATGGCCCTGTTTTCTATTTTTATACAGTGCTTGGAATCAAACCCAGGTCTTTATGTTGGCAAATGCCAGGGAAGAACTCCACACCCCACTCACACTTTTTCCAATAAACAGCCAGATAGTAAATAGAGTACCTGTGAACTCAGCAGTGGAAAATATTTTTTGGGAAAAAAGTGTCTGTACTGAACATTCAGATTATTTTCTTTCTAGTGTCCCAAATAGTACACATCACAACTGCTATACTGTATCAGCCTTCATCAATACTGAAGAGACAGTGCATTAGCATCTATGTTATATTGTAATAGAGATGAAAAATCATATAAAAATGATAATTTTATTTTATTTAAAATGAAAAAAAGATTTTGTGTGTGTTTGTATGGATGTTTTGCCTGCATATACGTATGTGTGTACGTCCTGTGTGCCAGGCGCCTGGAAGGTCAGAAAGAATGTTGGATCTCTTTGAACTGGAGCTACAGACAGTTGTGAGCTGACATGTCGGTACTGGGAATCAAACTCTGCAAGGTACTGGGAATCAAACTCTGCAAGAGCAGCTGGAGCTCTTAACCGCTAAGCTATCCCTCCAGGACCCTATTTTACTTTAGAGACAGAGTTTCAATATGTAGCAGAGTCTGGCCTAGAACTCACAAAGTAGCCACGGCTAGCTTTTAGCTCACTGCAAGCCTCCTGTCTCAGCCTCCCATGTGCTAGGATTGTAGGTATGAACACCTAGCAAGATGGCTTAAAAATTTTTAGGATGCAAATATGGGAAAGGGGATTATAGGGAGGAGGTGGGGTGTGACAGAGGTGGGAAGGAGATAAGAGAGCTGGGTGAGTGTAATGGAAATGTATATAACACATATCATATATAACATGTAGATAATAATTATATAATATACATCCACGAAAACTTCAGAGAACAAATTTAAATAATAAAAATACTTTTAAAAGGAGTTGTGGTATGGCTCAGCAGTAGAGTGTCTTTCGAGAATATACCACCGAGGGGCTGGGGGAATGGATTAGAGGTAGAGCTCTTGACTAGAACCCAGTGAGGGGCTAGGGGTGTGGCTCAGTGGTAGAGCCCCTGCCTAGAATGTGGGGTTCCTGGGTTCCACTCTTACCATCACAAAAAGTAAAAATGAAAAAAAAAAAACCTAAATGAATATACAGGAGGATGTGGCAAATACTACACCATTAAAATTTTGTTATTTTAATTTGTGTGTGTGTGTGTGTGTGTGTGTGTGTGTGTGTGTGTGTGTGTGTCTGTGTCCCTGAGTGTTTTGTATGTGCATCATGTGAGCACAGGAGCCTGGAGGCCTGAAGAGGGCATTGGGTTCCCTGGAATTATAGTTACAGGTTGGGGAGCGGCCCACTGTGGGTACTGGAAACTGAACTCAGGTCCTTTGCAAGTTCTCTTAACCACTGAGCCATTTCCTCAACCCCAAAGCCACCATTTTATACTGGAGGTTTAAGAAGCTCCCAGTTTGGTATGGTAGGGAAATTAATATTGGGGAAAAAAACCTTTGGCTCTGAGGGACGAATGAATGTTTACCTTTGTGGGTGTGGTGGTTTGAATGAGAATGTCTCCCATGACATCATGTATTTGGACCCTTGGTCCTCTGTTGGTGGTACTGTTTGGGGAGACCAAGGAGGTGAAACTTTCATGGAGAAATTATGTCACCAGGGGTGAGCTTTGAGAGTTTAGACTCCTGTAATTTCTGGTTTTCTCTCTCTTCTCTGTGCTTGTGGTTCAAGACAAGGACCTTTTAGCTTCCTGCACCTGCCACCATGCCTGCCGCTTGCTGCCACACCTCCCGCCACCGTGCCCGCTGCCACACCTCCTGCTGCCTTGTCTCCCAGTCATGGCAGACTCTCATTCCTCTGAAGCGTAAGCCCAAATAAAGTCTCTTCCATAAGTTGATGTGGTCATGGTGTTTTATTACAGCAGCAGAAAATCAAACTAATATAGTTGGTTCCATTGTGTAATCACAACTAGCTAACACAATCTGCCCATCAGGAAAATAGTCACCGAAGGTAAATAAACACACAGGCATGGCTGTGTGCCAATAAAACTTTACTTACAACTTGGCCCTCAGATTGGAGTTTGTAACCCATGATTTGGAGGAACACCTGGTACATGGTGTATTAAAAAAAAAAAAAAAGAAAAACTTAGGATGTATGAAGTAAAAGGAGGAAATAAGAGCAGGAAATGTGACCCAAACAGGATGGAAATGCCAAAGAATGTTTGCTTCTGGTCTATTTTTGGGGTTCCTTAGGATGTGGGACCATTTTGTGCATGAAAACCAAGAGACAGAAAGTGGGTAGGCCCCGTGGAAATGGGGGCTGCAGGCTTTTACAGAAACATAACTAGACCAAAGGCACAGGGCAGGGGTGGGGCTTGGCTCACCCATGCAGGCAGTGGCAGTGGCATCTGGTGTATACCCAGCTTGGCAGTCACAGTGGAAGGAACCAATGCTATTGATGCACTCGCCATGGGGGCACAGGTCGGCAAACATGTGACATTCATCCACATCTAGGAACAAGCAGAGCAGGGCAGAGGTTGGCTGGCTATCTTGTTCTCCTAAAGCACACCTTCTCTACCCACAAGCCCTCTTCCCAGAGGCAAGTCCAGTCTTCCTTTCCTTTACTCTGACCACATGGCTGCCACCCTTAGGCTATGGGTCAGTCCTGAGCCAACAGGATTGCTGATAGAGCTTCATTCCATTGAGTATGCACACACACACACACACACACACACACACACACACACACACGCACACACACACAAATATACACATATACATATGCATGTACACATACATACATACATACACAAATAAACACATATACACATTCACCTCAGCCTCAGCCTGATGAGCAAACAGCAACACACATACTCAGAGGGACTCATAAACACATAGAGCACCTTACTTCAGCCACACACCCAGATGCTGCTGCAGAATCTTGAGTCACAGGGACATGCACCCAACACAGGGCTCCTTAGTCCCTCGGGCACACTGAAAATAGGCATTTCTGAGGTCTGGCAATATCATTGCTGTTTACTCAGGATGACCATTTCGCCCTTAGTGATATACATGGTCTATATATAGAGACTCACACTCATTCACAGATATGCATGCAGTCATGTACCTACACTTATAAACTTGGTAGAATTCACTAACACCTGACAGCCTCACTCTCCCACACAGTTTTCTAGTTCATGCAATGAGTTGTTCACAAAGTCCAGTAGCCCCCATGCCCAGGAGCAACACAGCACTCTGTAAGCTTTCACACACAGAGGATACAAACCAGCTCATACACACATACATTAACAGGCTTTCTCAGAGAGTACACAACTCCTAATAGGGTCTCCCATGCACATTAACAAGCCTGTGCACACCACAAACAAGTAACACACACACACACACACACACACACACACACACACACACCCCTCTTCCCATGTCTGCTCACTTGGCCATTGCAGTTCATGCACACACAGGGCAAATACTGTTCTTGTTCTTGTATCTGCTAGCACGCTGGCACACTCACACATGCACAAGCACACAGAGTAGCTCACACCATTGTAGCACAGCCACGTAACTTTAACATGACCTCAAGGACACTCACCTTGACCCTCGGTGCTATAGCCCTTGCCATGGGGGCAGAGCTTCCTGTGGGCGGAGGTGCCAGGCAAGGGACAGGGCTCACAGTGGGGGCCCCAGCCCCGGCCGCCCCCGCAGCAGCACTCAGCTCTGGGCACAGCCTCACCACTGCTTGACCAACTCTGGCACATGGCCTGCAGCACCTCAGAGAAGCAGGACCCCCGCCGGATATCTGCAGAGAATTGGTAGGAAGGGTGGGCAGGAAGACTACTTTGCTCAGGACCTCCTCCTCTGTGGTGCCTAGCAGCCAGGCATATGAGTGTAGGAGGGGCATCTTCCCCTTGGCACGGGACACTGTGAAACACCCTCAAATGGGTTAGGTAACACCCGTTCGTCTCAATGGACTGGGGCAAAAGCTACCCACCCACCCAAATATCAGTGTTAGCTCTGGGATAGGTTATGAAAGCTGGGTGGCCTCTGTGGAGGGCAGAGGGAAGCAGGGGAACAGAGCAGGAAGAGATGATGCTTGGGATAGAACAACAGGGACAGAGGAGAAAAATATCGGGGCTGGTGAGATGGCTCACTTGCTGCCAACCCTGATGACCTGAGTTTGATCCCTGGGACCCACAAGGTAGAAAGATCCAACCTCCACACATATACCATGGCAAACTGTGCACAATGGTCCCCAAACCCTCAACACTGATAGCAAATAAAGTATAATTAAATAGAATAAAAAATAAGATCAGAGATAGGTGGGAAGTGAGGGCTAACTACAGACGGGAAGATTCTCTGCTGGTCACTCCATAAAGCCAAGTCAGGATATTCCAATCACTGAGATGGGGTTGGAGGCAAAGATGCTGAGCTGGCTTTGGGGTAAGCTATAGTGCTGGGGTTTGGGAATGGGGTGTCTAGAAGATGCATAGCATCTGGTCTGAAGCTAGGGGATGCACGTTATCCATGGGGAGGAGAGAAGAAGATGCCACCAGGAATGGACAGGTGCCTAACACAGAAGGCACTGTTAAGATCATCTGCTGGGTTCAGTTCTTAGGTTGTTGTGGGAAACCCACACAGAGATCATTCTGGGGTGATGCCTCTGGGGTCAGAGAAGTCATGGAGGTGGATGGGAAAGAGGAGGGGGAGGACAGAGAGGAACTAGCTCCTCTATGGAACGTGTACAGGCTCATGTATCTACATTGATGATGGTACAGCGATTCCCTTCAGGCCTCCTCAGTGTTCCTGATCTCATCCTTGCCTCAGACCTCCCAAGTCTCTGTTCACCTTGCTTGTTCCTGGTTACACTCACCATGGCACTCAGTGAGGGTGGAGCTGGGATGGAAGCCCTCATCACAATCACACCGGAAGCTTCCCACTGTGTTGATGCAGCGGCCGTGGGCACAGAGGCTGGACTGGGCCTGGCATTCGTCCTCATCTGAGATGGGAGGGATGAAGCAGGCCAGAGGGGGAGGCCAAAGCCACCAAGCCAGTTGCCCTTGGCCTTGAAAGTCCCCCTTTCACTTTGAACTCTCCCCTCCATGTAGCTTTCCCTGTGCCCTGGAAGTACCACGTACCTGTGCAGTCCTCCCCAGAGGGCTGGGGCTGCATGCCAGGCGGGCAGATGCAGATGTAAGTGCCAATGAGGTTTTTGCACAGCATGCCTCGGGTGTGGCAATCCTGAGACCCATCTGTACACTCGTCCACATCTTTGGATGACCAGGGAAGGTGGGTAAGTCAAGATCATGCCTTCCACAGCTTGGTTCTAGATGGGACGAGCCTAGATCCCATCCCCTAGCAGCCATAATGGGTCAGGTGTCCCCCAGAAGCTCATGAGTTACAAACTTAATTCCTAAAGTTTTATGGTGATGGTATTTAGAGCTGGAGGTGATAGGATTAGATGAGGTCATGACGATGGAGGGGCGGGGCTCCCATGATGGTGTCAGTGGTGTTACAAGAACAGACCTGATTCAGCACCTTGATCTGCCTTGCTTTGTGTCATATTATGATGCCACCTGGAGACCCTCACCACTAGCACCAGGTGTGCATATCCACACACATGCAAGAAGGCAGAGGAGGCTGTCACATATCCTGTTCTGTCACGCTCTGCCTTGTTTCCTTAGATAGTCTAGTTTAGTCTAGTCTGAACCTAGCTAACCTGGTAGCTAGCAAGCCCCACGGATCCTTCTATCTTTGCAGTGCTGGGATTAAAGGCCTTCATGTGGTCTCACCCAGATTTTGACATGGGTGCTTAGGTCTGAATTCAGGTCCTCATGCTAGTTAGTACAGCAAGTGCTCTTAGCCACTGAGCCATCTCTCCTGTCCTAGATTCCTGTTCTTTATCAATTACCCAGTCTGCAGCAATCAGTTAGAGCAAAAAGCTACTCCTTCTCCAAAAGCAAAAACCACTTCTCCTTCAAAACCAAGTGTCTATTTCATGCCCCAGTTCAGCTTCTTTGCTGCTCACTTCTACCCGCTGGGGTCAGTTCAGTTTCAAGACAGGAAACCAGAGTGCTGAGACCACATCTGGATCTGTTCGAAGTCAGGACCATATTCGGTGTGATGTTAGTACACAGTGGAGATCATAAGATCAGTGGTGGGGAATCAGAGAGCCCTGCCCATTGGCAGTCTGTGCAGACCCTACCTTGGCACATGGCACCATCCTTCCTCAGTGCGTAGCCAGCTGGGCAGGTGCATAGGTAGGAGCCCTCAGTGTTGTGGCAGCGGAAAGCACAGAGCAGTGGATTCAGGGTGCACTCGTCAATGTCTGCGGAGGCCAGCAGAGGTTTCATCTGGGCAGGCTCTCCCTGGGGTACCCCTGGTACCTCTTAAGGATCAGCCCTAGAGAGTCCCTGTTATACAGCTCTGATCTTGCTCAGGATGTATCATACCTTCACAGGTCATCATGGGGCCGGGCTCAAAGCCATCAGTACACGTGCACTTGAAACCTCCAAAGACGTTGGTGCACATGCCTTCCCCACAGGGGTTCTCAATGGAGCATTCATCTGTGTCTGGTTGGAGACAAGTGAGGAGGACATCATCACTTGAAGAGAGCTCCCTCCCCTCAACACTCCCATGTGTTTCCCTTTGACTGACACAGGTTGGATGGGGCAAGATTTGTGGCACCTTCAGACTGGCTGTGGGTATATGTTCAAAGAATGAATAGCTGGAGCACGAATGAAAGAATGAACAAGAGAGCATATGAATGAGCCAAGAATTTGGGGGATACATGTGTGAATGAGTAAGAGAATGAATGAGCAAGGGGACAAATCAATGCATGAATGACGAGGTGAGTTCGTGAATGCATGAGTGAGCAAGGGAGTAAATGAATAAATAATGAAATGAATAGATGAGTGAATGAATTAGTGAATATGTGTGAATAAATGGGCAAGGGATGAATGAGTGAGCAAGAATAAACAAATAATCAAGGAAATGAATAAATGAGTTTATGAATAAGTAGATGAACAAGTGAACGAATGAGTTATTGGGTGCATTAGGGAATGAAAGAGGTAATAAATAAGTAGTAAGGGAAGCATATAGAGGAATGAATTAATGATTTGTTGGAAGAGTAAATGAATGCATGAGAAATGGACAACTGAATGAGCAAGGGAATGAGTGAACAAGAGATGAATGAATGAGCAAGGAGAAGCTAAGGGAAGAATGAATCAATGGAGTCTGAGTTGGTAAACAAACAGTGAATGGGTGAGTGAACTGGATGAGTGAATGACCATGAGGACAAAATGGAGAAGTGAGTCAGTGAATGAGTGGACTCAGTGAAAGAGTGAACAAATGAGTGACCAAATGAATGCATAATTAAGAAAACAGGTGAACCAACTCCAATGCTAGTGAATGAATGCATGCACAATGGGAAATGAATGAATAAGTGAATGAGTGAGTAATGGGAAGGGAGGAGGCATGCTGAGCTTTCATGTTACCTTGACACACCTGGGAAGAGTCTCAGTGAGGGATTGTTTACATTGGGTTGGCCTGTGGGTGTGTCTGGTGGGGGGGGAGAATGTTTTCATTAATCAATGTGGGAAGACCCAGTCTACTGTGGACCGCTTCATTGCCCAGACCTGGGGTCCTGAACTGTGTAAGAGTGCAGATACAGAGCTGAGCACAAGAAGTGAGCATGCATGCATTCATTTCTCTCTGCTTTTGACCTTGGATATCACGTGACTAGTTGAAGGTCTTGCCTTGACTTCCCCACTATGATGGATTATAATTGTGAGCTGAAATAAACTCCTTTCTCCTCTACATTTTTTTTTTCTTCCTTTTTGAGACAAGGTTTCTCTGTGTAGCTCTGGCTGTCCTAGAACCCACTCTGTAGACCAGGCTGGCCTCAAACTCAGAGACTCACCTGCCTCTGCTTCCCGAGTGCTGGGATTAAAGGCGTGAGCCACCACCACCCTGGCCCCTAAGTTGCTTTTTGTCAGGATTCTTTTTAATCACATCAACAGTAATTAAAGTAGGACAAAGAGAATGGAGAACGAGGAAAGTGAAAGTGTTAGTGAAGAACTCCTTGGCTACCCACCAATGCAGGTGGTGCTGCTGAAGTCCAGGCTGTAGCCGAGGGGACACTCGCAATGGAAGGAGCCATCAGTGTTGACACAGAGGCCACCAGTGCAGATGCCAGGATTCTCTGCACACTCATCCACATCTGCAGGGTTGAGACAGTGTCTGTCCGCCTGTCACTGAGTAGGTTCCAGGGCAACTTGTGGAATCTAAAGCTTGAGGATCCATGGAGAGCTGAGTCAGGAGGAAGGAGCTCTTAGAACCCAGAAGAAAGTCTTACCTTTTCTGGAGTCATCTGGGCCTGGGTCAGCCCCATGGCCAAAGGGACAGAGCTCCCGAAAAGTAACTGGGAAGAAAATGGGATTAGAAGAGTCGGGGCTAGCACAACAGTCTCCAGCACCTAAGAAGGGCAAGTGAAGAACGGAGGAGGGAGGAATGCAGTGGGACAGAGGGTCGGAGAGGCCAGAACTCACCACTGTCATTCTGAGGGCACAGCTCACAGGGGTCCCCCCACCCCTCGGCGGGGTTCTTGCTGCAGCAGCACTGGGTCTTTGTGGTGTTGAAAGCTTTGGGCACTGAACACTTTCCGGCCTCAAACTGGGTGAAGCAAAAACTCTGGCGAGTGTCTGTGAAGAGGGAGGTGGGGACGATAATAAAGTGATTGACAGCCAGCAGCTCTACCTGACTGCCTCTCCTCCTTCATCACAACCTTTCTGAATGGGCGACCCTGGTCCTACCAGCAACCAATGAAAGCATGCCATACACTTGGCTATAGAAATTGCTTAGGAATGAACCTGTGATGCACTCTCAGCCAAGGACAATGAGCTGGGAATCCTTTCCAGCAGTGTTCCAACCATCTTGTGTGTGTGTGTGTGTGTGTGTGTGTATGTGTGTGTGTGTGTGTGTGTTGCTGACAAACTTTCAATGTGGCCCTTGTGCCAGGAAGAATAGCTAAACTCCACCCATTACTTTTGAATCAGAGGTCTCTTCTTGGAGTGACAAAGATAATTTTCAGAGGGCGGGAAGACCTGGTGTGGCAAACCCTCAGCCTCCAAACCGTCAGTCTGTGCTCTTACAGGCAGGCTGGGGTACGGTTCACCACTGCGCCCTGTGTTCCCTAACAGCTGATACTGGCTAAACTGGACTGTAGGCTCTGGAGCAGGCATTTGTTTATATTTCTCACAACACTCACCGAAACAATAGTGTCCACTGTCAGAGAGGACGAAGCCAGGCGGGCAGAGGCACTGGAAGGTCCCAGGACTGTTGGTACAGGTGCCAAAAGAGCAGAGGCTGGGCTCCTCCAAGCATTCGTCAGTATCTGCAGAGGCAGCGACGGGAGCTGAGATGGGGCAACATGGATCTCCAGCAAAGCGGGGAGGGTTAGCTCTCCAACGTGAGCCGTTCTAAGCATGGAAGCTTGGTGGGGACCTATGGTTGCAGTGTGAGCCACACTAGGTGGGCAGTGTGTACTGGAGGTCTTTCTCAGGTGTCTTCAGAGTCGGGCTCATGGTCAAGAGTTCATCTTTTAAATTTATTTCTATGTTTTTACGGTGTGCGTGTTTGTGTGTGTGCACATGTGATGTGGGAATGTACCCATAAGTGCAGGTGCCTGTGGAGGCCAGGGATATTGGCTCTCCCTGGAGCTGGCAGTTGTCAGCTGCCTGATGTGGGTGATGGTCTTCTGCAAGAGCAGTATGCTCTCTGCTGAGCCACCTCTCCAGACTCAGAAGTTCATCTAAAATAAATAATGCTGGGTATGGTGGTGCATGTCTTTAATCTTAGCACTCAGAAAGCAGAGGCAGGCACATCTCTGTAAGTTATAGACTAGCCTGGTTTACATGGAGAGTTCCAGGATAGCCAGGGCAACATAGTGAGATCTTGCCTCAAAAACAACAATTATTACACTTTTATTTATTTTGTGTGTACATGTGTGGAGGTCAGAGGACAACCTACAGGAGTCAGTTCTCTCTTTACTAGGTGAATCCCAAAGGTTGAACTCAGGCTTGGTAGCTAGTACCTTTACCTGCTGAGTCATATCACTGGCCCAAGTTCATCATTAGAGACTTAAAATTGGGCAAAGTTAAGAGAGACTAGAGATATTGTGCCTGAACTAGTTAGAGTTAGCTCACGTACCACGCTACCCTAGGTAGACTAAATTAAACAAGACCAGGCTGTACTGGTCTAAATGAGTCCATTCTATACACAATAGCACATTTGCTGAAGCCAGAATGGTCTAAGTTAGCCTAGGTTATACAAAGCTAGCCCAGATGGAAAACAGTATCAGATGTTGGCGAGTCAAACTGGCCCAGATTGTGAAAGGTTGGTACAAATGGAAGACTGGATTATCAGCAGTTGGGTCAGACTGGATCAGATCATGGCCAAGCTGACACACTTGCCCAACCAAGGTGGTGCACTCATAATGTCTGCAGAGGGGAGTGGGAGGTAGGGTCACCATGGACCCCAAGGTTATTGAGCTTTCCTTACGTTCTGCCCACTGGCTGATTGACCTGCTCAGGCTAGACTAGTCCAGGTTAGCCTATACTATATGAGACTAACCTGGTGAATTAACCAGCTAAGATCAAGTTAGACTAATTAGTCTAAAGTATATAAAACGATTCTTATGGGTGAGAATTCAGAGGAGTCTCTGAAGTACGGTGACACTCCAAATCCAAGTATATCTTACAGGGCGCACAAAGAACTCTCTGAGCCCTTGGAGGAAGGCCTGAGCCAGGAGCCAGGACAGTTCTGATAACAATGGAGCTGCACTTGGTGCTGTGCCGTGTGCACCTGCACTCTGACAGGGGGTTGGTTGGACACTCACCAATACAATGGCCACTCTGCATCTGGAAGCCAGGGGGGCAGGTGCACTGGAAGGAGCCTTCCGAGTTCTGACAGGTGCCTGGCAGGCAGGTCCCTGGGAGGCTCAGACATTCGTTGATATCTGTGGAGGGAAAAGGAGGGGCATCCAATGCCAGGGAGGAGGCAGAGCGCTCCCTGAGGTCTTTGGCCGGCACCCGCAGGTTAGCTGGGGGACAAGCCCTTCCAGGGACCGTTTTGGGTCCAAGGGAAAGGTTGACGCTTGGGAACACAGAGGCAGTGGAGGAAGGAAGGGTTATTTGTTCTTTCTGGGTCTATGGACCTGGAGGGATGCAGGGAGCAAGATTTATGAGCCACTTGCAGGGTCCCTCCAAGATTTCCATGCCATCCATTCAGTACGTCTGCTATTTTTTATTTCATAAACTTCCCGTTTGCAAGACGGCCTCACCCTGAACTATAGTCAGCTCTTCTTTTTTTTATACCTTAAAATAAATAAGATGGATGAGTAAGGAGCTCATGAAGTCCCAGCCCCACCTGAAGAGCTGTTGCAACTGCAGGCTGCTGCAGGAGGAATCCAGTTTTCGACCAGGATATGGCCCCTAATAGGCTGCCTGTGCTCTAGCAGAGGAGCCCACACCCACCCACATACCGGCACCAGTAAATGGACTCAATGTGCCTAACAAAGAGCACAGAGGAAAGTGGTGGTGGGATAGAGGAGGTGGAGGGCAGCGAGCCGGGGGTGGATTTGATCAAAACACATATGCAAGTCTGAGATTCTCAATTTAAGAAATGCACAGATGTGAACTGGAACTATGCTCAGTTGAAAGTAGCAACTGCAGGTATATGAGGAACAGACTCTCTGAGATGGGCACTGGGGAGAGACTCACCCATGCAGTCCTTCTTGTCAGCTGTGAGCTCAAAGCCATCTTGGCAGAGGCAGTGGAAGGAACCGGCTGTGTTGAGGCATTGGCCAAGCTGACACACTTGCCCCACCAGGGTGGTACACTCGTCAATGTCTGCAGAGGGGATGGGCAGGTCACCACGGACCCCAAGGGGACCGAAACTTCCTTGTATTTCTGTTCACAACTAATTAAGAGGTTGACTTTGATTTATTAAGGACTCTATATTTTATCTTGTGAGGTAGGTACCAATATTTTCTAATATACAATCATGTAATTCTATGAATTTGTCACTAAGTACTCAATTAACTATATCCCACACATTTAGATTTATGTTTTCATTCTTATTTAATTAAAATATCTTCTAATTTTAATTTATTTCATTTTGTTATATTATTTATTATACTATTTCAAATTTATACATTATTTCCTAATTTAATTTACTAAATTTCATTTAATTAAAATATTTTGTATTTTTTAAAGAATCTTTACTTTTATTTATGAGTCTGCATATGAGCCTGCATGAGTTTAAATGAAACACATGTGTGTTGGTATTCATGGAGGCAAAAAGAAGGTATTGGATCCCCTACAACTGGAGTTACAGATGGCTATGAATCACTATGTGGGAGCTGGGAACTGAACTCAGGTTCTCTGCAGGAGCAACACATGCTCTTCACCAGGGACCCCTCACATCCTCAACCCCCATGTCACGCAGGCTTTGAAGCTCTATTTTTGGATTGCTATGTACTATGATTAGGTCTTCTCAGAGGGATGAACCTGCTCAATGTATGCTCTGCGTCTTAGTCTTTAAAATGGCCCTGAGCATGCTAGGCAAGAGGTGCCATTGTTTCCAGACAGGGGAGATGGAGGCACAGGGGGTTAAATTGGTTGCCTAGTGATGCAACTGTAGTCATATTTACACCCATGCTCCAGCCTTGGACTACACAGGCAGGACTCACATCCTGCCTACATGATCTCATTCCACCAAAGCCATTTCCAACTTCTAGGCCCCAACTGCTTGTACATTCTCTCTTCTGCCCCAATCTTCTCTGTCCACATCAGACTTAGAACTAACAAAAGAAGTTCACATGCCCAATCTCATTGCAAAAATACCACCAATATGAAAGATCAAGCTGCCATCTTCTCTCCAAAACCCACCAGTCCTGTAGAAAGGTTTACCAATGAGAATTAGACTAAACCCAAGATACAGAATTTAAAAGAACAATCATAAATTTCATCTAAGAATTCAAGGAGTTTAAAAAAGATACACACACAAAAATCCAGCTTGATGAATTTAAGGAGAAAGAATTTAAGGGGCATAAACATGTGAGAGATGTTCAAGAAAACACAAATGTAAGCGTTAGGGAGCCAGAGGCAGGCAAATCTCTGGGTTTTGCTGGCCAGACAGTCTATGCAAAATAAACAAGGAACCCTAAAAATCTAAAGTGGAGAAATGACTGAAGAAGACATCCTGATGTCAATGTCTGTCCTCCACATGTGCACCTACACCAATGTACACACATACACACACACACACACACACACACACACACACAGTGCTCAGTTACCACCTCAAGACTTTTCACTCTAGCCCCTACAGTCCCTGCAGGGAAGATTCTTGCATTTAAGCCCCCAATGTTCCTGTGTGACCATTAAGTTTTAATTATTAAAACTTGACAAAACCTCGATTAGACAGGGAAGGAAGTCTCAGTACGGCGCTGCCTAGATCTGGCCTTTGAGCATGTTTTGGAGGCATTGTCTTCATTGCCTGAATAGATGTGGGAAGACCCAGCCTGAGGTTTCAGGCTCCACTGTCCCCTGGCTTGTGGCCCTGGCCTGTGCAAGTGGAGAAGGTGAGATGAGCACTAAGCATGCTTGCCTTCATTCTTTAGCCTCCAGCTGTGGGTGTGATATGACAGGCTGTTTCATGTTCCCACTGCCTCGACTTCCCTGCAATGGTGGACTAAAACCTGAAGTTGTGAGCTGGAACAAATTCACAATATGCACCCCAAGTTGCTTTTTGTCAGAATATTTTACTCCTACAACAGAAACAATACCAAGACAACGGCATGTCCCAGTAGGACCTGCTCCTTTAAGCTGCCAGGGAAGAGGAGCCTCTTCCATTGCCTTCCCTAATGGCTATCCTTACAGTGTGTCCTCCAGAGTTTCCTTCCATGTTAGAAATCTAAGCCCCAGGTGGGATGCTGATGGCATCTGGAGAAGAGGCATAGAGAAGGTAAGCAGGATCAGGAAGGTGGGGACTCAAGGTGGCATTACAGCTTCCAAAGAAGAGAAAAGGCACCCAAACTGGCACCCGTGTTCTGTCTCACACCGACACCCTCCACCATGCTGGGATGCAGCAACACAGCCCTCCCAGATGCTGGTGCCTTGATACAGAGCTGCTAAGCCTTTAGAACTGTAACTGAACAAATTTGTATTTGGGCTGGAGACACAGTTCAGTGCTAGAGAGCTTGCCTACCATGAATAAAGCCCTGGGTTCAAAACCCAGCACCGTGAAATAAAAAAGAACCCCCAAAACCAAAATCCAAATCAAAACCTCTATTTTTTCTTTTAAGGATTATTTTGTTTTAAATTACGTGTCTATGTGTGTGTCTGAGTCTATGAACACAGGTGCCAGTGCTGCTCAGAAGAGGGAGCCGGATCCCCAGGCACCTGAGTTAGAGGTGGCTCCAAGCTACCTGACAGAGGTGCTGGGAACCAAGCTTGGGTCCTCTGGAAGAGCACTACATGCTAAGCTCTCTCTCCAACCCTGACCTCCTATTGTTTAGAAGTAATCTAGTCTCAACTATTTTGTTACAGCAACCAAACCTCACACTTAGAGCCATGGCTTGAATGTGAAATGTCCCCCACAGGTCAGTTTGAGTGATTGGTCTGAATGATTGGTCTCCAGCCGGTAGTGCTGTTTTGGGGGACTGTGGAATCTTTAGGAGGTGAGTGGGGCTTAACTCAAGTGAGTGGGCCACTGGGGGTGGGTGGATCCTTGGAGGCTATGTCTGCCTTTGAACAAACAAACAAAACTAAGCCCCAGGTGGATCTTCGGCCTCCACAAACAGGTAGGTACTCACACATGCATATACCGAATGAAGACACATCCACATATGTGGCACACACAGAGAATAAAGCAGGCCTAGAAGCCTCAAACTATGTGTCCTTCTGTACTGTGCTGGGAGGGGCTAGGCTGAGAAAGTGGTTGGGGAGGGGAACTCACAGCTGGCAGGGGTGGACAGGCTTTACAGGGTCTATTCTAGGACTGCCCCATGTTGTAGGAGCAGCAGCAACACATCTTCTGGGTCACACCGAAGGTCAGTTTTTTGCCCACATGAACCATTATAGTGCCGGAAACACACGCTCTTCTTCATGTCTGCAGTTGAAGTCGGGGCAAAGAATGTGGGCCTCAGATTGGTGAAATGGCTCATCTGGTAAAGATGGTTGCCACCAAGCCTGACACCCTCTGACCTCTACATGTGTGCCATGATGCACACGCAGCCCCCATTTCCCAGGCAGTAAGTAAATGAAAGGTCAAAAGAAAAAAGAAAGGATATGGGATGGGTCCAAGTCAGAGGAAGAGTGCAGACTGGAGAGGGAGCTTATCCGTGGATTGCTGTGAACACTGACTTGACATCTCTTCTCCAGTATCTTTCAGCCTTTGTTGGTCAGAGCACGACCTGGGAGGATTACTATGGCTGCTCTGGGCTCCTAAGTCCTGCAGTATCGTTCGTTCAGTGTCACATTTAAGCACGTCAAACATACGCACGTGTACTGTTTCTTCTTTCTTTCAAACATACCTCTCTCTGCACCTTCCAAAGCTCAGAGGCTCTTGGTAGTTCTTCCCACACCCAGGTTCTGCCATAGCAACCACCAGCCTTCCAGCCCTCAGCCCCAGTCATCACACTCCCTACCCATACAGTCGTTGCCACCATTGACCTGCAGGCACTCTGCAGGGTGGACACAAGTGTAATTTCCTAAGTCTTTGTAGCATGTGCCAGGGTCACAGGTGTCTGGGTGTATGGGGCACTCATCCATATCTGCAGGGGAGGGAAGGTGGGATCGGTCAGGTGAGAAATGTCAGAGATTGTTTGGGTGACTCCCTTGGGGGATTCCCTATCCCAGGCCAAGTGAAGATACTTAATTATTGGCTTCTATTTGGTTTCACTAGCTTAAAATTACACAGCTATTTGGGCCAGGGAGACAGTTCAGTGGGTAAAATGATAGCTGCACAAACTTGAGGATCTGAGTTTGAATCCCCAGAACCCATATATAAGCTAGGTAGAGTAGCATACAGGTAGAACCCCAGAGCTCCTGGGCAAGGGTGGGCAGAGACAGAAGAATCTCAGGAGGTTGTAGGTAGCTAGCCTGGTACACACAGGGCACAGACCCTGTCTTAGGTAAGGAGGAAGGCAAAGACTGACCCAAGGCTATCCTTGGACCTTTACATGCACACTGTAGCATGACCACCCACAGTCACACTCCCTGTGATGATTTTTTTGTTTGTTTGTTTTTTTTTCAGTCAGGATATTTTATCACAGGAATAGGGCTGACACTAAGAGACAATATGCAAATAACTAAAAGCAATAAAAGCAGGAAGTGGGGCCGTTACTTCCTACCCTACAGAAGTCAAGGAAACATAAGACAATAGAATAATTGTATGCCCTCTCAAAGAATCAGATGGATTAGAGGAAATGCATCCATTTCTAGAAGCATATAAACAGAAGCGGAGTTGGACAGATAAGAGCGTGTACGTTCTTGCAGAGCATTCACTGAGCCACTGAGGGGCTCAGAAACCACTTGTAATTCCAGCTCCAGGGGATCTGATGCCCTCTCCTGGCTTGCATGAATACTGCACTTGTGCACACAAAAATTAAAAATAAATCTTAAAGATTTACAGAGAGAGAGAGAGAGAGACGGGGGTGGGATGGGGTGGATATTGAATGGCAGTATAATAGAAAGAGATGGAATACAGTAGTTTAAGACCTTCCAACCAAGAAAAGTTCATAACTAAATGGCTTCACTGGTGAATTCTACCACATTCTAAAAGAATACCAATTATACTCAGGCTTTTTCCAGAAACAGTAGAGAACCATCCCTAACTCATTCAATGATATCAGAATCACCTCCATATCCAGAACAGACAAAGATACCACAAGAATAGATGCTGCAGGACAGTACCCCTTGTGAACGCCCCTAAATGCAAAGGTCTTCCATAAGTGGTCGGAAATGAGGGGCTGGCAATGGGGTGCCTAGCACCTGTCTAACATGTGTGAGGCCCTGGGTTCCATCGCTAGCCCTATAAAAGAAAATACTTGAAACCGTTATCAGGCCGGGGAAATGACCTGCCACTTGCACTTGACACACAAGCCTGATGGCCCGTGTTCAGATCCCTGGAATCCATCTTTAAAGCTAGATGTGGGATAGAGAAATGGCTCAGTGGTTAAGATCACACACTACCCTTCTAGAGGATCCGAGTTCAGTTCTCAGCAACTAATGAGGCAGCTTACAGCTGCCTGTAACTCCAGCTCCAGAGGATTTAACACCTTCTGACCTTCATGTGCACCTGCACACATGCACACACACATAGAGACAGGCACACATCCTACATTGGGACGGGAGGTGGAGACAGGAGAATTGTTGGCAGTCTGCTGTGGGATGGTCTTTCTGTAGGCTGTGAATATGTGTTGCTACCATTGGTTAAAATAGAAGTTGCCTTGGCCTATGGAAAAACAGGTTATAGCCAGGCGGGAAATCCAAACAAAGATACAGGGAGAAGAAAGGCAGAGTCAGGAGAGATGCTGTGAGCTGCTGAATTGAGCAAGATGTAACAGAATACAGGTAAAGCCATGAGACATGTGGCGATACATAGATTAATAGAAATGGGTTAATTTAAGATGTAAGAGCTAGCTAGTAATAGTCTAAGCCATTGATCAAACAGTTTGTAATTAATATAAGCCTCTGTTTTTTTTTTTTTTTTTGGACCTAGCGGCTGCGGGACACAGGAAAAATTTTGGCTACACCAGTCAATCAAGAAGATTTAGGATAGTGGCAGGAACAGAGACCCTAACTAACTCAAGCAAGGTGGAAGGAGAGAATCAACTCCTAAGAGTTCTCCTCTGACCTTTGCACACATGCTGCAGCATGCATGCCCCCTACACACTCACACACATACACACACACACACACACACACACACACACACACACACGCATGAACACACATACACAATACACATCAGCAAATGGAATCCAATAGCATATTGTGGATATACCATGACTGTCAGTGGTTTTAATGCCAAATTGCCACACATAGAAGCACATGAGCAGGAAGCCTCACCTGAAGGGTTGTCCTGATTGCCTTAACTGAAGTGGAAAGGCCCACTCAAATTGTGGGTGGCACCTTCTGGGCACAGCCCTGATAGAAAGGGCCTGGCAGGAGGAAGATGACTCGCCTTTTGCTCACCTGACCTTTCTTCTTGTCTCTGAGTTGATTTATCGTGTTGCTGTTGCTCAGGATTCCTTATTTGATAGTAGAACCAATATTTCCAGGCTTCCATACTAAGAATCAATGGCCCTTCAGGAACTCTCAAGGTTTCTGGCTCCTGACTGGGACTAGTGAAGCATCCAGTACCATGGACTGAGCAACTACCAGGTTGTTGGTCTCTCTAGTGTGACCCAGCCACTGTGAGACCACTCTAATTACTGAGGTACCAGCCACGAGGACCAAGCAACTACTGTTACTATCTCAACACAAGCTGATTTTCTGTCTGTCTGTCTGTCTGTCTGTCTGTCTGTCTGTCTATCTCTCTCTCTCTCTCTCTCTCTCTCTCTATATATATATATATATATATATATATGATATATATAATCTCTCTCTATATATTATATATACACAAGCACACACACACATATATGAAATCTTCAACCATCCATCCATCCATCCATCCATGCATCCATCCATCCATCCATCCATCTGTAGCTCGAGTTTTCCTGCCTGGCCCACAGTCAGGACAAATCTTTATCACCCGCCAGTCCCACAGCCGCTCAGACCCAATCAAGTAAACACAGAGACTTATATTGCTTACAAACTGTATGGCTGTGGCAGGCTTCTTGCTAACTGTTCTTATATCTTAAATTAATCCATTTCTATAAATCTATACCTTGCCACGTGGCTCGTGGCTTACCGGTACTTTACATCTTCCTTGTCCTGGCGGCGGCTCCAGGCAGTCTCCTTCTGCCTTCCTGTTCTTTTATTTCTCTTCTCTGTTAGTCCTGCCTATATTTCCTGCCTAGCCACGGCCAATCAGGTTTTATTTATTGACCAATCAGAGCAACTTGACATACAGACCATCCCCCAGCACAGCCAAGTGCAGACCATCTCAGACACCTGCACTCAGGCCCATGGTCCTAATCATCTTCTATGCAGACCTGCTGGGTAAAGCCACGACAAACCCAAGAACGGGCTCCCACAGGACATACAGAACATCCCACAGCATCCATCCATCCATCCATCCATCCATCCATCCATCCATCCATCCATCCAGTTCTCCAGAGGGCTAGGTAGATGTGGCATATCGATTACATCAAAGAGCTCAGGCTTCAGGGTCAGAATGGTCAGGATCAAGCTGACCCACACCACCTAGATGATTCTCTCCTTCCACCTTGCTTGAGTTAGGGTCTCTGTTCCTGCCACTACCCTGAGTCCTCCTGATTGACTGGTGTAACTGGAATTTTTCCTGTGTCCTGCAGCCACTAGGTCCCCCCGCCCCCCGAAAAAAAACCACACAGAGGCTTATGTTAATTACAAACTGTTTGGTCTATGGCTCAGGCTATTATAGTTATTATTATCATAATAATAGAAAAACTTTCCTTATGGGGATATTGCAGTGGTTAGATATTAACTGAGGACAGTTAGCACAGTGGTAACTCACAGTCCTGGCCAGAGTTACTGTTAGGCCACTACTACAATGCTCAATTCAGGACAATAGAGAGAAATGTGAAGTGTTTAAGTCAAAATGAGACCATTTCTTCTCACGTCTTTTCTTTCCCACAGTTAGGCATGGATCTTGGTCAGCTTTGGCTCAAGGGAGGAATATCAAGGTTGCTATTAAGCTATGTTACTTCCAAGTGAGTAGAAGGAAGAAAGAAGGGAGCTGGACTGATGAGGGAGAGAAGTGGGGCGGCAGGATGTAAAGCAGGGAGGCCATTGCACCCATTAGCCTTCCACCCCCGACCTTAGAAAGCTTGGCAGAGCAGCATGTCAGAGATGGAGAGGAAGTGCCTGGGCTAGCCTGGGTAGAGTCCACACTCACCCTCACAGGTGCAGGTATCTTCACTGAGGCTGTATCCAAGAGGGCACTCACACTGGAAGGTACCGAAGGTGTTGGTGCAGTTGCCTCCCTGGCATAGTCTGGGTAACTCCTGGCATTCGTTGATGTCTGTCAGGAATTGAGGAAGCTGAGTAAGAGAGCTAAATCCAGCAGAGAACTCGAGGGATCCCCACAAGCTGCTCTGGGGTCCTATGGGCTCATTCAAGTATCCCCCAAGAGTTATCTCCATGACTATTGGGCATTTGGAGAATCTCTCTCAAAGGCTGGACACTTGAGTCAGTGCTGGCTCGAACCCAACTCCTTTATTTTCATCTTATCATGCATGATAGTTCTCTCAGGTTAGAGTATCTTTTCCAACACCATCACTCCCCAAGAACAGAACTGACGGGAGGATCGATGGCTGGATATGGAAAGTAGTGACTGAGCAAATATGCAAGTGGGTCGGTGGATGAGAAGGTCATGTGTGGATGAATAGAAGGATGGGTAGAGAGGCAAGTAGTTCGATGGACAGAGGATGGGCAGATAATATTGGTAGATGGAAGATGAGTCAGTGGGGTATATGAAAGAATAGATGTAAGCTTGGAGATGGAAGGATGGATGGATGCATGAGCCGATGAATTAGTGAGGGTAACTGAATGAGTAGATGGTATGTAGATGGTGTGGCGATTTGAATGAGAATGGACCCTCTAGGCTCATATATTTGAATACGTGGTTCCCAGTGGGTAGACTTGTTTGGAAAGGATTAGGATGTGTGGCCTTGTTGGAGGAGGTTATGCTTGCCTGCTGCTGTGCTCCCTGCCGTCATGGTAATGGGCTCCACCCTCTGAACTATAAGCTCTAAACAACCCCTTTCTTCTGTAAGTTGCCTTGGTAATGGTATCCTATCACAGCAGTAGGAAAGTAACTAAGGGGATGATGACAGAGGATGGGTGTATGATATGGGTGGTTAAGTGGATAGGTGAGTAGATAGATAGGTTGGGGATGAATGGAATATGTGGATGGGAGATGGGATGGATTGATGGATGATGAATGGATGGATGAATGATTACAGATGATCATGGAAGATGGATGCATGGATGGATGAATAGATGGACGTGTGGGTAGGTATCCATGGGTGAATAGGTGAATGGAGGCTGGCTGCCTGGCTGCCTGGCTGACTGGTTGTTTGAAAGGATGGATGGATGGAGGGATAGAATAATGGATGGATGGAAGAGTGGGTAGATGGAAAGCTCAATTAACAAAACAGTGGACAGAAGAAATGACAGAACAGAGTAAAAGTTTCATGCATAATTTGGTTCTGCAACAAAGTCCCCAAGTGGGAGGACATGTTTGCCCAGGCTGCCCACCTGAGCACTTGGCACAGTGTGGATGAAAGACCGTCAGTGTGTAGATGGATCAACAGCCTGTCAGGACTTACCTTCCAGAATCACAGTGATGGGATTGGGCCGGAAGCCCTTACCCCCGGGGCACAGGGTCCTATACTCTGCTGTAAGGGAAAAGGCTGCATGAGGCCATGAAGAGAGGCACTTGGATAAAACCTAGCTGACAGGAGAGGGCCCCTTGAAAAAGGTGTAACATGGGCCCCTCCTTCGCTTTGCTGAACCGACTATGACTTAAATGCTCAGCTTTGTGGGGCTGCCTAGAGATTCAGTATATGCTTGTGCTGGGGTGTGTGTATAAACATGGATTCCCATCCAGTGCATGGATAGGCGGCTCCTGAGGGATCCTGTTCCTACTGTACCTCACTCCTTTCCACTTTACTAATTTTCCAAACCTGTACCCTACTTGGGACTTACAGTTCTCTGGATCCCTAGTCCCTAGCACAAGGCATAGAGGAACTCTCCATGTTTGCTGACTGACTGAGTGATGGATTGAGTATAAAGAGAATTTGCAGAAAGCAACTTTGGAGAGAGGGCTGGCCTTTGAACTGGCAAGGGCATGCTTTGTGACTTCCTGGTTTTGCTTCCTTGTCCCCCTGAGCCTTCTGCAGGCAGAGATGACCTGCAAGCTTCTGAGTCTCTGGCTCAGGCTCGCTGTCCTGCAGGGACTCACAGGTGTTGCCAATTGGACACGGCTTGCAGGGATGGCCCCAGGCTTGGCCCAGGGAACAACAACAAGACGCTCTGCTGACACCAGCTCCAATCTCTGCACTACAGGAAATGCCACTGTCACCTCGGTCCTGCACTTCCAAGAAACAGATCCCGGCCAGGGTGTCTGCACAGGCAAAAATGGGTGGTTAGCACACGGAAAACTATGTTTCTGTGTGTTACTGTGATCTCCACAACTTCCTGGTTACGTGTGTGTACGTAACCCTGAGTGTGTAACTGTGGCTTCTGATCTGTGTGTCTGCCCGTGTAGTAACTGTGTGTGCTGTGTGTATACATGTGTGTAATTACCATCTGACTATAACTGTATATCTTTGTGTAACTGTGTGCATTTACGTGTCTAGTTGTGTCTGTAACTGTGAATCTGTGCATACCACACGCTATGTGTAACTACATTTCTCTGTGTGTAACTTTATATTGTGTCAGTGTGCTTCTTTGCATGTAACTTGTCTTTGTGTATAACTGTATTGTGTATAACTACATTTCTGTGTATGTATACATTTGAGAGTCTACATGTTACCAGATTTCTATGTGTATTACTGGCTGTCTCTGTGTCTATTTGTCTGTGTTTGAGTGTGTTTCTCTTTGGGTAACTTGTCACTGGCTGTTACTGTGTTACTATGTATCTCTCTGTTACAAATCTGTGTGCATAAGTGTTTCTCTGTGTCTAAGTATACCTGTGTGTAATTTGTTTTTCACTACAGATCTCTCTGTAGCTGTGTGTGTAATTACCTTTCTGTGTGTGACTGGGTGTCTATGTATTAGTAGGTATCTCTGTGTTACAATAGTCTCTCTGTGTGTCTATATATCTGTAGTTAAGTGTGTTTCTGTGTACAGTTTGATCCTGTATATAACTGTATGCATATATGTGTGTATACAAATGTTGTCTCCTATATATATATATATATATATATATATATATATATATATATGTAATTTTGTACGTGCTTGTGTATAGAATTATGTTTCTATGCGCGTAATGGCTGTCTCTGTGTCTACCCATGTTTGTATAACTGTGAGTTTATATATACCATGTGTAACTTGCCTGTAACTGTGTATATGTATATAGATGCTGTCTCTAACTGTAATTATGTGTGTGTGTAATCGTGTGTGCCTCTGCATATGCAGCTGCTGTCTCTGTGTGTAACTGTGTCTGCATGTAGTTTTGTTTCTTTGTGGGTAACTGTTGTCTTCTGAGAAACTACATGTAATGTGTGTCTAAACATTGTCTCTGTAAGTGTGTTTCTAAGGTAATTGTGTGTGCTTCAGCGTTTTTCTCTGGGTGTAACCATGTGTATGTATAACTGCAGGTCTGTGTGTGGTTGTCTGACCTGTCCCCTGTAGTTCTTTGTATGTAACTACATTGGCTGTTGTCCTTGACTAGATCCACAATTTCTATGTGTATTTCTCCATATATGCCTGCATGCTTGTATGTAGTGGTTGAATATTCCTGACTGGACAGAGAAGATATGCACGTGTGTCAAACTGTGTGTGTACGTGACCATGTGTGTCTAGACCAGAAGGCAGTATCACAACAGGTGACTTCCCAGCCCGCAGTTGTCCTGGGAGCAGGAAGATCTTTACAAGCTGACACCCAGGGTGACCCAGGCCATAGCCCAGCCAGCAATACTGACTCCTGAGTTCCCCAGCTGCTGGCAGGTGTAGACTCACCAACACAGCCCACTCCACTGGGGTTAAGCTGGAAGTCCTGAGGGCAGTTGCAGAGGTAGCTGCCAGGGGTGTTAACACACAGGCCATTGATACAGTTCGCAGGATTTTCACACTCATCAACATCTGTGAGGGACACACACCACTGTCAGCTAGGAGCCCTCACTGTACCCCATCCCTCCCTTTCTCCTGAGTGGCCACAGATCTCAGTGGGCCCACTCAGGTGCTGGAGTATGAATGTTTGTCCTTCCCTAGGATGACACTAAACAGGACATGGTCTCAAGAGTCTGCCCTAGCCATTCAGCCCTCTCCCTTCCTCTGCTCGGTTCCATTCGGCCTAGGTTTATCTCCTTTCACATTCTCCCATCCTGAGTTTCCCAGAGCCAACATATGAAACTAAGATTTAGAAAACACTTTTGAGCCAGGGGTTAGAAAACCACTCTAAGGGCCAAATGTGGCCCACTGCTTGGTTGTATCAACAAAGTTTTATGGACACATGACTGAGCCCATCTATTTACATTTCATCTGTGAGAAGGCTTAGTGGTGGCAAAAGACACCTATTTAGAATGCTGAAACTTTTTACCATCTGTTTGTTATTAAAGATGCTGGGATAGGGGACCATTTTAGCAGGTGTGGTGGAGAGGGTACTTCATTTATTCACTGCATTTGCTCAAGGGATGGTAAGAGGGCAATTGAGATGGTTAGTTTTAATAATCAACTCAACACAACCTAGAATTACATGGGAAGAGAGTTTCAGTGACGGACTGTCAACACTGATTGTCCTGAGGGCATGTCTGAGGAGACTGTACTAGTTAAGTTAATTGATTTGGGAAGACCAAGCTGTACCATTCCCTAAGCTCTTGTAAGAGAGGCGAATGGAGCTGAGCACAAGCAAGGAAGCAGGTACGCATGCATTTCTTCTCTCTCTGCTCTTTGATGTGGATGTGATATGATTTGCTGTCTCAAGCTCCTGCTGCTGTGACTTGCCCACAGTGGTAGACTATAACCCAGACTTGTGAGTGGACATTGACTTCTTTCTCCCCTAAGTTGCTTGTTGTCAGGATATTTTATCAATCAACAGAAATGAAACTAAACAGCAATAAATCATGATGATTAAAAACAGAAAGTGGGGATGGAGCGATGGCTCACTGGTTAAGAGCACTTGTTGCAAAGGACCTGAGTTTAGTTCCCAGCACCCACATGGTGGCTCACAACCATCTGTAACTTCTATCCTTCGTGGGCACCAGGCATGCATGTGGTGCACTTATACACACTCAGGCAAAACTCTCATACATATAAAATAATATAAATAAGTCTAAGAACAAAATTTTAAAATAAAGGAGTGATAAGGGCTTAAGAAATGGCCTACGTGAGTAAGAGCACTTGTGTAAGCACAAGCACCTGGGTTCAGATTCTCAGCATCAATGTAAAGAGCTTGAGTGCTCGCCTGTAACAGGAGGGCTAATCATGGAGATGGGATTGCTCCAGCTCTCTGGCTGCCAGCCTTGCTTCACGCTCAGCCTCAGACTCTGTCTCAAGGGGATAAGATGGCGAGTGATAGAGCAGGATGCCTGACATCCTCCTCTGGCCTCATGTGCACATTCACCACACACATATACCAGATGCATATATATATATATATGTATATATATATATATACATATACATATATATGTGTGTGTGTGTGTGTACACACCCCCAAATACGAGTGATGGAAACTATTCTAGACGAGAAGTCAAGGTGAGTGCAGTGTGGGAGCAAGCTGTGCCTCCCTACTCTCAGTCCTGTGCTCTTACTCCCCAGCCAGGCCGACTCCATACCTGTGCAGTTGCTTCCACTTTGGTCCAGCTCATAGCCTTCATCACAGCTGCAGCGGAACATTCCAGGCAGGTTTTCACAGTTCCCAAACATGCACAAGTTCCCAAGAGCACACTCGTCCATATCTGCAGGGACCTCATTTCAGCCTACTGTGCTCAATAGTATGCTCTGGAAACTTGCCCACTCCACACACCGCTGAGCTGGACAGGGCCAGGCTGAGACTTACCCCAGCAGGCCAGCTGGTTCTTGGTAAGGTTGAAGCCCATATCACATTCACAGTGGTACCCGCCAGGTACATTGAGGCACTGTCCGTTCTCACAGAGGCCCATGTTCTCCATGCATTCATCCTTGTCTGAGGGACCATGAAGAACATAGGGCTGGGGACCAACTAGGTTAGGACCCACACTGGATGGGCAGGAAGTACCAGGGATTAACCATTTACTCTCACCCAGAATCCCAAGTGGGAGCCCTCAGAACTCAGATGCTAACTCAGAATAGGCAGATAACCAAGATGGGGGATTAGGAGTAAAAAGGTGGCCATTGACATGTAGACTCCAGTTGGCTGCACACAGAGAACTTACTCACAACCAAGGAAATAAGATGGTTAGATTGACTATGGTGGTGTAGATTATAAAGAAAAACTAGTAATGGGAGAACTGGGGAGCAAAGGGCTGGGAAAATTGCTCAGTTGGTAAAGTGCTTGCCATAGTAATGTAAAAATCCGTCTGACTCCAGCACCCAGGGGAAAAAGCCGGGTGTGATGGCACAAAGTGTAATCCATTCTGGGGAGATGGAGATCCCTGGCCAACTAGCTTAGCTTTAACTGGCAAGTCCTAGGGGTCCTAACCAGAAAAACTGCCTCAAAACAAAAGAAAACAAAAGACAAAACAAGGAAGGGTACTTGAAGTTAACCTCTGGCCTCCACACACTCACATATGTGTGCACCTGCACATGAGTGCATCCTCCCACAAATTTGCACACACACACACACACACACACACACACACACACACACACACACACACAATGTAATAAGAATAAGTAAAAAAATATAGGAAGAAAAAAAAGATGGTAACCAAAAGAGAGGACAGGTGGGCATGCGGACAGTTGCTCTGTGGGCTAAGGACATAGACTCTCTAGTACCCATGGGACAGGGGAATACAACCCTGGCACTGTGTTGTCTCATTCAGGTCCTGCCCTTCCCTCACCTTCACAGAATAAGCCATCTCCAACAAATCCTGGTTGGCAGGTGCAGTGGTAAGAGCCCACGGTATTGAGGCAGTTGGCATTTGGGTCACAACGATGCTGTTGGATGGCACATTCGTCCAGGTCTGCAGCAGATAGAGCCGGGATCCCCTGGTATGTGCACTGAGGCTGTGGGGAGGCTGCCTCTCCAATCCCAGCCCTACATGGTCCCCACAAGCCATCTCCTAGTCCTCCACCCTCAATCCTATCCTGAGGTACTCACCGTGGCATTTGAAGCCGTCCCCACCCCAGCCTGGGTGGCACCTACAGCTGAAACTCCCAGGGATGTTGACACAGGAGGCGTGCCTGTCACAGCTGTGTCTCCTAAACTCACATTCGTCCACATCTGAGGGGAGAGGGAACAGTGGTGGGAAACAGTCACAGCAGGGAAGACTCAGAGAAGCAGCAATAGAAAGATAAACGGAAGAGTGGTGACCTAAGGACCTTCCATTTTCCTCTATAGCCCAAGAAAGCAGCCCCAAGCCCACTAGGCCTGACTCTTAGCATCCCTCAGAAATGATCTGAAGTAGCAGGTAGCATGAGAGAACTATAGTAGACATTAAGTGCAATTATCCAATGAACAGTTAAACCAGGATTCCTATCTATATCAGGTTTTCCAATTCTGGATCAGTTTTGAAGCACTCTTACCAACTCTGCAATGGACATATGCTACCTATGTGAGCCACTGTTTACTAAATAAATATTTTTCTATATAGTTCCTCATTTTGACTTGCAAGAATATATTTTATTTTTCATTCATCCATCAATTCATTTTTCTAAAGGTAGCTCTCTATCATCTGTCTATCATCCACCAGTTTAAAGGTATCTGTCTGTCTATCATTTTTCATTCATCAAATTTTCTAGAAGTTATATATCATCCATCCATCCATCCATCCATCCATCCATCCATCCATCCATCCATCCATCTCTGTCTGTCTGTCTTCATAGAGCCTGGTCATTGAATTTAGGGATTTGCACACTCTAGGCAGGGTCTCTAGCACTGAGCCATACCCAAGCCCTTTATTTTGTCATTTTGAGACATGGTCTCGCTATGTAGAACAGGTTGGCCTGGAACTTGAGACCCTTCTGCCTCAATCTCCAGAGTACAGGAATGACAGATATGAGCCACTATGCTTGATTATAAATATATTTTAAAACAAAATTTTATATCAACCCTAATAACCTCAAAGAAGTAAGGGAGTTTGACTGGATGTGTAGCTCAGTGGTAGAGTATGTGCCTAGCATGAGAAAGGTCCTGGGTTTGATCCCCAGTGCTTCAAAATACGTACGTACATACATACATACTTACATACATAAGTAAACAAAATGTTTAAAGAATTGTGTGGGCTGGCAAGACAGTTCAGTTGGTTAAGTGCTTGCTATATAACCTTAAGGACTTGAGTTCAATCTCTAGCACCCATATAAAAAGTCAAGCATGGTGGTGTAGGCTTATAATCCTACCTCTGGAGAAGCAAGATAGAAAGATTTCTTCACTCTCACATCTATGAATGTGACCTTAGTTAAAAATGATCTTTGTAGATGTCACTAAGTTACAGCATTATCATGGATTGTTTTGTATCTTGATCCAATTAGCTCTTCTAAGAGGGGAATTTAGGCACAGAGAAGAACATCAGGCAAGTATAAAGACATCAGTGGGTGTAATGTTCCTATGAATCAAATTCCACCACAGACTACCAACAACAGCCAGAAGTTGGAGAGATGCCTAGGGCAGGTTCTCTCTCTCTGTACCAAGAAGGAACCAACCCTGCCCATGCTTTGGTTCCAGACTCCTAGCTGTAATTCTGGAGCGAGAATATATCCTGGGGTTCTAAGTCACCATGTGTGTGCTAATTTGTGTTTGATCTGAGATGTGAATTCTCTGACTAGTTAGATGTTTAAATGTTAATCCCTGTATCATGCAAAAACCATCTGGCCTGCTTGCTTTGGGAATGCTGCTCTCTCCTTTGGGGTTCCCTCCATTGAGCTATTTAAGAGGCTCCCAATGGGCACTTTATTGCCAAGAGATCTCATTAGTGGAAACTGTAAGAATGAGTTCTGGTTGCCTTCTGTCCTAAGGCATGGAGACAGTGCTAATGATCTTCAAGCTAGCTCTTTGGATGTCTCCAGCTCCATCTGGATGACTTTTCACTCACCGGAGCAGCCTGTGGCTCCCTCCCTGATGACATAGCCTAGATGGCAGTGGCAGGTAAAGGATCCTTTTGTGTTCTCACAGTTCCCGTGGAGACAGAGGTAGGGGTTCATGTCACACTCATTCAAATCTGTGGTGGGGAGAGGGTATGAGTTATGAGGACTGGGTGATGGGAGAGAAATAGGGATAGGGAGGGGAGGCAGGCCATATGAGGGAGACCACCAGCATTCCCGGGTAGACTGCCATACAGGAGAATCTCCTACTAAGCTGTGTGGGTGTCTGCAAAGAAAAGTATGATGGTTAGTTTTGATCATCAACTTGTCACAACCTAGCATCACCTTAGGAAGACAGCTTCCATGAAGGACTGTCTACATTGGGTTGGCCTGTGAGCATATCTGTAGGAGACTGTCTTAATTAAGTTTACTAATGTGGGAAGACCCAGATCACTGTAGTGGCATCATTCCCTAGGCAGGGATGGATGGTCCTGAACTATGTAAGAGTAGAGAAATGGAGCTGAGTAGGCAAGCATGTGAACATGCAGATTTTCACTTCTCTCTAGTATTAACTGTGGATGTCATACGACCACCCTGTATCTGAAGCTCCTGCCTTAACCTCCCACATAGAAAGATGGATTCTAACCTGAAATTACAAGCTAAAATAGACTCCTTTATCCCCTAAGTTGATTTTTCTAAGGATTTTTATCACAGCAACAAAACAAATTACCAAAACAGGTTGAGCGCTCCCTCGAGGACTACCATTAGGTAGTGTTGTGAGTCAGGCTGACCAAGGTTTTCTCAGAGGCCTGATGAAAGGACTAATGGAACCTAGTTCTGTGTCCTTGCCCAGTGGCAGATTTGGCAAGGTCCAGTCTGGGTCTAAGGCCAACACTTCAAAAGAGTTAAGGTTTCAGTTTCTGGAAACTTGGCTTTTCCCTCTGAAGCCCCCAAGGCTGCTGTGTGCTCTGCCTGCGATGCACTTGAGATCTCCTGTGTTCCCTTTGTGTAACATTGCTCAATTAGCTTTGTGCTGACTTCATCCCACTGCATGATGGCTTTTGGCTGACTCTGTCCCGTTCCCCCAATGCAAACTATATATAAGATGCTGTCCTTCTTAATAGACTCGACTGGTATGAGACATAGCTTGTGCAAGATCTCCTGGTCCCAGACTTTCCTATTGTCTTTATCTTCCGATCCCTGGTCTTCACCCTTAGGCCCCTGTCACTGAAGAGCGACCTGCTGTGCAGGTCAGGGTAGTTATAAGTCTTCTGTGAGCATCTTGCAGTGCATTTTTCATGGACCACACCTTGCATGTGTTCCCCAAAGGAATAAGTGGTCGAATATATGTAACAAGTGCTGTATTTCACCAAGATAGCCAGGTTTTCCTCTCTGGTCCTCACACCCCAAGCAGAGGAAAGAGGCCTCACACACTCACCTACATTTCACAAAGCTAGCCAGGTTTTGCCAATGCTTTTAGGCCAACATGTGTTTGGATGGTGTTCTGGGGTATCTAACCCTTGGTTTATGGACTACATGTAGTAGAATTATGGGCATGGCCCCAAATAAATTCATAAACACTATGAGATTTGATTTGAAATTTTTTGAGGGTGGGTAACTCAATTGTACAGTTCTGGAGTATGAACTTTGTAGGTGATGTCCTGTTATGTTAAAAAGGAGGGCATGTCTTCTGGGTAAAAGTATTCCCTCAATTGTATTTTCTCATTAGCACCTTCTAAAAGGTGTTCTCTGACATGCCTACTAGCTGAACCTCTTAGGTTCAGAAAAGACTTTGGTGGGGTTGTTACCACCTAGAACTTGCCTGCTTTAGTTCAGCTGGGCCTGACAGGGTGCCCAGTATATATCCACTCCCCAGGTGGAAGAACTGCCTGTGGCCAGGTGAAGACAAGGATTTGTGCTATCCAAACAGCTTTGGGGAGGTCCTCAAACGGAAATCAGCAAACCATTCTGTTTTGAACAATGCTCAACATCTTTGGTTAAAACCAACCAACCAGCCAACCAACCAACCAACCAACCAACCAACCAACCAACCAACCAACACCCTTCTGCCTGTAGTTAGATTAACACACAACCCGGGGTACAAGCATGAGTCTCTGATAGGTGTTGGACATATGGTGAATGTTCAATAAATGCAAAGGTGAATAATAAGGTTGGGGGTGAGTCTCTGCTTCTATGACAGAATCACACAGGCTATGAAGAGATGTGTTCAGCATGTGCCCCTAACCACCAGTCCCAGCTGCTTACCTACACAAATCTTCATGTCTGGTGAGGCTGAGAAGCCGTCATAACACATGCAATGGTAAGATCCTGGCATGTTGGTACACTGGCCTTCTCCACAGATGCCTAGGTTGTCTTCACATTCATCCACATCTTGAGAAGCAAGAATAGGGGATGGGTTGAAGGTGGACAGGGACATAGGAAGAGTTCAGGGTCTTTTCCAGGGCCTAGGTATTTGGGGTCTGGCTGATCATGCCTGGCTTTGTGCTATGCAGGGCTTTGGTGAGCTTGTTGTCTAGCCCAGGCCTTCTCTGGTGCTCACATCCCAAGCAGAGGGAGTAGGTCACACCCACTATGCTGTGCATGCTCTTGTATTGGGCACCCTGCCAACAGCTGCACTGGACGTTTCCCTCCGTGTTTGTGTACTGCACTTCATAGTCACTGTTCTGGATTGGTATTCACTGCTGTCTGCAAGGGCAGACAGAGGGCACCAGGCTGGTAAACTTGGGCTGAATTAGGGGCAGGAACTAAGAGGAGCATGGAAGTAAGGCTGGGAGGGACTGTGTTGCACAGGGGACTGCAGAGAGCATCCTAGGGATGGTATAGTCTCACCCACGCAGCCCTGGCCATCAGGAGTGCTCTGGAAGCCAGTGTGGCAGGAGCAACGGAAAGCACCAATGACATTGATGCACTGGCCATCGGGACAGAGGCTCTCACTCATGGTGCATTCATCGATGTCTGTGGGAGGAACATATATGGCTAGTGACAGAGTGAAGGAGCAGCCCGTACTGTCCCTCATCTCCTGTCTGCCATCACACACATCCCAATGAGCTCACTCTGGCTGCTTGCATTAGCACCCCACCCTTTGACTGTCTGTCTACTCACAAACATACTTTTCATCATGCACAACCCAAACTCATGCACTTTTATAGACACATGCATCCACCCAAAGAAACATGTTCATACTATGTGCATGATACAAACACACCTTATACTCACACAGTCATCCTTGTGCAAATATGCACCCACACCCAGACACACTCAGATACATTCCTACTGTGTGTGCTTACATAAATGCACACAGAAACACATCTGTGTACTTACTCACACTTACCATATACTCCTGTGATTGAACACTTGGTCCCAGGCTGGTGGTGCTAGTTGAGAAGGCTGTGAAACCGTTAGGAGGTGAGCCTCACTAGGGGAAGTGGGTCATTGTGGACCTGCCTTGAGATTTTTACAACTCAGCTGCATTTCTTAATCACTCTCTGCTTCCTGACTGTGGATACAATGTGGCTAGTTGCTCCTGTTTCCATGGCTTCCCTGCCAGGATGGGTTGTGCTCACTCAGACTGTGGGACCACAGCCTTGGTCACAGAAAGGAGATTCTCCAATATGAATGCATATCCTTTGTATTAACATGCATCTGAACCTCACCCCTACACATCCTCTTGTAGGTACACACACACACACACACACACACACACACACACACACACACACACACACACCCTGTCCACTCACATGCAAATACATAGACCTGCCATTGCTGATACATTCACACCCAAATACACACTTTTATCCTCCTACAGGCTCATCCACGTGCACATATACCTAAATGCAAAAATTTGTCCTTGCACAGCCACACACACCTCCACACAGATTCACAGACACATCTGCTTTTGCATAGACACAGCCGCATAGATATTCACATGGGTGTGTTCACAGACACAGTTCCCACTTGTATTTGTTATTCTCCTCATCACTGTGACAAGATATCTGACAGAAGCATTTATTGAGGTTCCCAGTTGGTACAGTCCTTCAAGGCAGGGTAGTCATGGTGACAGGAGCATAAGGCAGCTGGTCATGCTGCATTCACAGGAAACAGAGCAAGATGCATACTGGCGCTCAGCTCCCTTTCTCCTTTTTATTCAGCCCAGAACTCCAGACTAGGAGATGATGCCACCTACATTCAGGCTGGGCTTTCCCATCTCAATTAACTTAATCTAGGAATATGAACTCCTCACAGACATGCCAGAGGTTTGTCTCCTAGGTGATTCAAGGTCCTGTCAGGTGAACAATATTAACCACCTCACTCTCTTGCACACATAGAGACACAAATATACACCCACTACTCATGCATATATGTTGACATTTCACACTCACATGAACACACACAATCTCGTGGATGCAAACACACACACACACACACACACACACACACACACACACACAGGGTCATCTTCAGAGACACACAAATGTACTTCACCATCTCACATTTACCCTGTGCATTTGGATAGACACCCAGATGTGAGCACGTGTCAGACCCTGCCACTCTCTTGCACACCTTGCTGCAAGCTCACCTTCACAGGCAGTGCCTTGGGCCTTCAGCTCATGTCCAGAGGGACAGTGGCACTCATAGCTCCCTTCCGTGTTGACGCATGTGCCTCCCTGGCAGAGCAGCGGGTCCCCGGCACATTCATCCACCTCTGGACATGTGAAAAGACAGCAGGCTGGTGATGCTGACCCAGATGGGATGATTCAGGAAGCTCCTCTGTGCGGCACCTCCTTCATCATTACCCTGTTTGCATCCGGCCACACACATCCGTCTACCTCACACCCATCCCAGGGCTTTGCATGTGTCCTTATGGCCTCTGTGCCATCTCCTTACAACCACACACACGCTGCGCCTCCAACCACGTGGCATGTGTGTGGAGGTCACAGCAGACAACTTGTGGCAGTTCCTTTTCTCCTTGTATGATTCCGGAGACCAAACTCAGGTCCTTACACTTGGCCTCAGGATCCTTTACCCACCGAGCCGTCTTCCTCACCCCCACCTCTCAGCCACTTCTCAGCTCTCTCTACCCCATTGAATCCCACTCTCCTCGGCCACCTTCCCAACCTCACAGAGCAGGTACATCCCCTGGGATGTACATTCCTACAGGACCACATAGTAATTTTGTTTTCTTGGGGAATGTTTTTTAAAACTAGTTCTTTGAGAGTTTACTCCCAGTTACAACCCCCTTTCTTACTTCACCCAACTTTGTGCCTTTTTTAACCCTTCAAGACCAACTTCATTTGTCTCCCCTTAAAGTTATAAAGCCCTTGGTGCCTAGGTTCTCTGCATTACCCCAAACCAGTGGAGGTGTGTGAACTGTTCATTGAATGATGGGGGCCTCTTTTATTTTGGAGAAAGGGTCTTGTTATGTAGCTCAGGTTGGCCTAGAATTAGCAATCCTCCTGCCCTAGCCTCCCGAGGGATGGAATTATGAGTCTATGCCATCATGCCCAAGCTAGAGTCTTCTTAAACGGCTTCTCTGGGGGTAGTCCTGTCCTTTTCCCACAAAGCACCCATTCTCACCGTGCTCTCCTAATGACAGTATCCCACGGCAGTACAATGGCACACCGAAGCTTCTCCTCATATCTAACAGCAGCATGCTCACCACCCCTCTTCTGGCCGTCCACCCTGCCCACGGCTCTCCGCCATGCCCTCACCCTGCCACCACTCACCCACACAGTTCTTCATCAGTAAAGAGCCACTAGTGAAACCAGGAAAACAATCACACTCGAAGCTGCCTGGGGTGTTGACGCAGGTACCCTGGCCGCAGAGGTCAGGGGAGATCCGACATTCATCGATGTCTGTGGGGACAGAGATGCATGGGCCAGAGGTCTGTGTGTGTAAACATGAGGATGCACAGACCACGGGTTTCAAGTAAGAAGACATAGGGGCTGGGTCTCTGTAGACATGAGGGGATACCCAGGAACCCCAAGAAACTGAGTCTGAGAAGAAGTGCCTCATGTGAACACAGAAAAGGGGCAAGAAATTTCCTTTCAGAGGTAATCTTGGCCAGCCCTCCATAGAGACAATAGAGATCCTTGCAGCCCAGACAGGGTGATGAGCTGTCTTAGGCCACACAGCTTGTCAGTGGGCATGCTAAGAGGAAACTAAAGACTGAGCCTTGTCTTCACATCCAATTCGGGGACCCCTCCCACAATTTCCTGCCTGCATGACCTGTCCTCACCAGATGGGGAGGGAGTGGCATCTACCTGTACAGTTCCTCTCTTGGGCATCCAGGGTAAAGCCTTTGTCACAGGAGCAGTGGAAGCTGCCCATGGAATTGTGGCAGGTGCCATGTGTGCACAGGTCAGGGAACACCTTGCACTCATTCACATCTGGAGTACAGAGTATAAACAAGTCAGCTGCACCACACCGAAGGTCTTCAGTCTGGGATTCATACACTAAGCCCTCCCTAGGTTCTTACCTCTTGAGCTTGCTAACATCTCTCTCTTAGGAGTCTTTCATATTTGTTTGTTTTGTGCATGTGTCTGGGTGCACATGCTGTGGAGGTCAGAAAAAAATTGAGAGTTCATTCTCTCCTTCCACTATGTGTGCCCTGAGGATTGAACTCACTGTCAGGCTGGGAGGAAAGTGATGCCTCTACCCACTGAGATATCCCCTCTTTTTCTTTTCTTACACAGTACCACACTCACTATGCAGCCAGGGTGACCTTGAATTCCTGCTTCTACTTCCCAAGTACTGGCTTGACAGACATGCACCACTACACTTTGTGTGTGTGTGTGTGTGTGTGTGTGTGTGTGTGTGTGTGTGTGTGTATGCGCGTGCGCGTGCGTGTGGAGGTCAGAATACAGTCTTAACTGTTGTTCCTCAGGAGTTTTGAGGAGGAAAAAAATCATCTTGGTTTTTTCAGACAGGTTTTCTCACTGACCTAGGCTGGCTGGCCGGTGAGCCCCAGGGACATGCCTGCCTGTCCCTGTCTGCTCAGCTGTCAGATTACATCTGTTTAACCTGTACCCAGCAATTTCCACAGGTGCTGGGCACTGAACTCAGGTTCTCATGCTTGCAGGGCAAGCATTTCATCAAAAGGTCACCCTGCTTTTTGATTTGTCCTAAAACGGTCTCCTGTAGCCCAACCCAAGCTGACCTTGAATTTCTAGTCCTCCTGCCTCTACCTCCTGAGTGCTGGGATCTTACATCACCATGCCTTGGATACTAAATGTCCTTTCTGCAAATAATGCTTCATACCATCAGGCCTTTGCCCATGCTGCCCTTTACCAACTTTCTTTCCCTTCCAAGACCTTCTCCTTTGGTGTGCCCTTCCCCAGACTAACCTTTATAGAAGGGTCGGCCAGACAGGAAGTCCTGGCTGGCAAAGCCCAGCCCTTGGGGACACAGGCTGAAGAATTCTGGGGAGCTGGGCTCCGGGCAAACCTTGCATTCAGCTCCCCATGAGGTCCCGATGGAGCAGCAACAGACATCCATCTGGTACTTGCCAGGCAGGGGAGTTCCACAGTCTTCGCCACCCCAACGCAGGAAACACAGCCCCAACCTCACATCTGCACAGAGGAACGGTTGATCACTGGGTCCTATCCTTGTCACACTTCGGCACGCTTGTCAGTTGGTATCACTTGCCTGAGACCCCTACCCCCAACAAAGATAGATTCAAAGGGCGAAAAGACATGGCTTTCTTATGCTGAAGTCTGATGTCACCTTGCTGCCTGGGTGCTTAGGAATTACTATGTATTATTGTAAGTAACTCCATCCATTTACATTTCAAAGTAATGCCTAGAGGAGGGCCGAGGCTGTAGCTCAGCAGTCGAGCTCTTGACTAGAACCCTTAGTGAAGGTCTTGGGTATGTGGCTCAGTGGTAGAGACTCTGACTAGAATACACTGGAATATTCTAGAATAGAGTTACTAGAATATGGACAGGGGCTTTGCTCAGCAGTAGAGCACCTGCTTAGAATCTTCCAGTGAGGGCCTGGTAATGGACTAGCAATGGAGTACCTGTCTAGAATCTGCCAGTTAGGAGCTGGGACATGGCTCAACAGTAGAGAATTTGCTTAGAATCTATCACTGAGGGCCTGGGAATGTCCTTGGCAAATCCTAAAACTAAGTCCTTGTCACTAACCTTGACTTCTACTGCACCAAGAGACAGCATAAAGTGATTGACATATGCCACACATACGTGAAACAAGATCTAAAATGTTGAGACAATATAAAAAATACCAACTGGTCCATTTCTCAAGATGTATTCCCTTTGTCAAGCAATGCATGGTTGTATGCTTCTTCACAGAGCCTGTACATCCCTGAGAATGAGTCTCATGGGAACCCAGAGGTGATTGTGATGATGTGTCGATGTGTTGTGGCTGTAGCTGCAAGATGCCGATGGTGGTGATGCTGGGCACTTAGGATAAGATGGGTTACATAACGCAGAGGGCTTTATTCAGTTTTTTCTTTCTTTTTTGCCTGTGTGGTTGTGTAGCACACATACATGCTTGATATTGGTGTGTCTTTCTCCCCACTCCCCACTTTGTTTATTGAGGTAAGGATTTTCAGCTGAACCCAGAGCTCGAAGGCAAGTGGAACTGGCTTATTTGGGAGTCCCCTGTCTGCCTCCCCAATGTGGGGATTACTGGCAGCCACCATTTTCATGTGTTTCACTGAGCTATCTCCCCAGACCAACTTCTGCTGTGAACCTAAAACTGTCCTAACACTGTGTGTGTGTGTGTGTGTATTATATGTATGTGCACAAATTCATGTGTGCATGCATGTGTGGGTATGTAGGTGGTTGGAGGCCAATGCTGGATATCTTACTCAATCACTCTCCACATTATTTTTTATTTTGAGACAGGGTCTCTCACTGAATCCAGAGCTGAAGACTCAGTTGGACTGGCTGCCAGTGAAGCCCCAGGCCCCACCTGTCCTGCATGATACTACACGGTTTTTTTTTTTTTTTTTTTTTTTCAGGTTTTTTTTTTTTTTTTTTTTATCCAGGTTTTCATGCTTGGGTGGCAGGTACTTTACTCACTGAGCCATTTCCCCAACGCACTGTGCATTTTTCAAAAGCAAACAAACCCAAGAAGAGTCATCAGGACCCAGCAGTCTACTGAGGAGGAAGAGAGCCCATGGCGGGGCTACAAACAGGCTGAAGGAACTAAGTGAAGATGAACTGGCAGAATAAGTTTTCTTCCTAGCCAATAGCTTGTTTTGGCTAAGAGGAGGCCAGAGGAGGCAGTGAGCCCACCTAACCGCACACATGGAATATGGAAATAAAATATCCCATCAGCATCTAGACTAAAGGGCATCCATCCTTTTGACATCGCCACGTGACATCACCTACAAATGTTTTGGGACACATTAGTAGCCATGATGGGGCACATACAGCCCTCAGGTGGTAAAGCTGGACATGCCTGAGAAGGCTGGCTACCCAGGGACCTTTGACACCAATTATGGGGCAGTGGGATGCTACTGGCATTGAGCTTCAAAGGTCAGGGATGTGGTGAGACGGATCAGTGAGTGAAGGGGCTTGCTGCCTGATGACCCGAGCTTGGAACCCCAATTTCCATCCCTAGAATACATGTAAAGACGGAGAGGGAGAGCAGACTCCACAGAGTGATATCCATATGCATGCAAGTGCTCCCCTCCCCTACACAAAATAATAATGAAAAGTCAAAATAGTTCAATTTAAATACAAAGAAATAAATAGGTAAATAAATTAAAAAAAAAAACCCAAGGTGGATGGTTCCCTAGGAACTACACCCGAGGCTGTTCTCTGCTGTCCTTTCCACACACACATACTGGGCACAGACATGTGCACCCTCATGCATAAACATGTATATACACATATAAACACACAGACAAAAGAAAGAAAACACAGAAGCAAGCGTAAGCACTGCACTAAGACTAAAGGACCATTGGGTGTCTGGCCATGGATGGGCTGTCCCTATCACTTCCTACAAGGCTCAGGGAACGCTGTGGGAGAAGGACAGAAAAGGAGTAGGAATTGGGAGCAACATGGAATGCTGACCTCCTTGAGCTCACAGCAGCCGCGATTAGCTGTTCAAGATCTGCAGAACCCTGGGCACATCAACAGCCTGCTCCCCCATACAACCTCACCTCACCCCTGCAACTCCTCCATCAGGGCTGAGCTTGAAACCTGCATGGCACACACACTGAAAGCTGCCCTCTCTGTTGATACGGCAGCCTAGGTGGCAAAGGTCACCATGGATGATACACTCATCCATATCTGTGGGGAGGAAATCACAGGCAGTCAGAAGGCATCATCTTCCCCTGGCCAGGCCCCCTCTCCTCATTTCCTCCACTCTTGGATAAATGAATGGGCGGATGAATAGAAGATGGGTAGAAGGATGGTGATATGGATGGATGGGTGAATGGAGAGAGGGGTAGACGTGTGAGTGAATAGGTGGTTGCATGGACGGGTGACAAATAAGGGATGAGTAGCCTGGTAAATGGGTAGATCAATGGGCGGTAGATATTTGGTTATATGGTTAGGTAGATGAGCAGATGGATGTTTGAGTGGGTGGGTGGGTGGATGGATGGATGGATGGGTAGGTGGATGGATGGTGGGTGGGTGGATGGATGTTTGGACAGGAGGATGGATGTGTAGGTGGGCAGATGTGTGGATGGATGAGTGCATAGAGGAATGAGTGGTTGGGTGGGTGGACAAAGGGGTGGGTGAGTGGATGGGTGGGTGAATGGATGGGTGGGTGAATGGATGGGTGGTTAGGTAGGTGCATGGGTGGGTATGTGGATAATGGATAAATAGTCATACCCAAACATACCTCCTTGGTGAGCATGGCCTGGAAACCTTCACAGAAATGGCAGTAGTGGGAACCAGGAGTGTTAGCAGAGTTACCACAGCATTGCTGGTACACTTGCTCACATCTTTGCACAAAGACCCTGAGCCCATCCAGGTAGTGCCCACCCAGCCACACCTTGCTGATCTATTCTCCATGTAAATCATAGGTATAGCCCAAGTTGCATTCACGGTGGTAGCTGGAAGGGGTGGGAGGGCAGCAACCACTGAGGCACAAGATGGTGAAGTGGTAACAGATGTCCATGATCTGGTCCAGAATGGCTGTGTTTGCAGTGGAGCCAACAGGGATACCTAAGCACCAGAAGCCCCTCACCCACCCAGAGCCTGGGCTTTGCCTCTGGGTTCTGACACCAATAGAGTCTTTGACATGTCTGGCTCAGACACCATCTTCTTGTCTGAGCTTGCCTATTCAGACGCCCACCTCAGGACTAGGCCCTCACCTTGGGTGCAGAGCCTCAGTGTAGAGTAAGACTCCTTACAAGGGTTTGAATCTAAAATGTCTCTCACAGGCACATTTAGTGTGTGTGTGTGTGTGTGTGTGTGTGTGTGTGTGTGTGTGTGTGCGCTATTGATGAGCTCAAGGTCCAGTGAGAGACCTTGCCTCAAACAATAAGATGAGGTGGATGTGTGGATGCTGTGCCAGTCTGCTGCCCCTTCCATTTTGTTGGGGACAGGGTCTCACATCGCCAGGCTGATGACTCCGAGCTTCTGAAGACCCTCCTGTCTCTCCCATATTACGGCAGGAGCACTCACTGGGATTACAGACGTGTGGTGCTGTGTTCCGCTTATGTAGGTTCTGGAAATCTGAATTCAAGCCCTCACTCCTGCACATCAAGTTCTTTACCTACTGAGCCCTCTCTCTAGTCCCTCATCTTATTTTTTCTGAGGCAGAGTCTGTCACTGGACCCAGGGCTTACCAATTAGACTAGGCTGGCTGGCTAGTGAGCCCTGGGGATCCTCTTGTCTCTTTGGAATTACAAATCCATGTCACTACACCTGGATTTTTAAATGTATGGGTTCTGGGGACTGAACTCAGTTCCTCATTGCAGAGCAAACACTCCAACAACTGAGTCCTCTTCAAGGTCCTTATCTAGTTTTTGTTTAGAGACAGCATCTCACAAAGCCGAGGCTGGCTCTGTATTAACTATGCAGCTGAGGATGACCTTGAACTTCAAATCCCAGTACTCAGATAACAAATGTGCACTCCCATGACTGTTTTATGCAGTGCATTGGGCAGAAGAAACTCGGCTTCACACGTGTTAGGAAAGACTCTACCAACTGAGACACACTCCCCAGGTCCCTCATGTGGACTTCAAATAGTAATAGATAACTTGCAGTTCCTGATACAATACAACGTTATGCTAATATTCTCTTGTGCATGTGTGCTCGAGAAAGGGAGGGAGGGAGGGAGGGAAGAGATAGATAGATAGATAGATAGATAGATAGATAGATAGATAGATAGAGAATTTATGTGTGACTGTGTATGTGTGTGGCTGGGTGTGTGCATGTATGTGCAAATATGCTGTGGATATCATTCTATACAAATAAAACACTGATGGCCAGTGACCAGGCAGGAAGTAGGTGGCCAGGCAGGAAGTAGGTGGGACAAGGAGAGAGGAGAATGCTGGGAAGC